GAAACACCAACACCTTAGATGTTGGAGAACCAGGAGTCTGTAGGTTTGTCACAAAATTTAAAAAACCCTCACTACTCATGAGCCAACCTTTAAGAAATAATATAGCAAGTTCCCCCCTGTTCCATCCTACCTTCCAAGGCAAGAGAACAGAGCAGGAAACTTCTTTTATTTGAAAATGGTGGTTTTGATTGGCCAGTATGTTTTCTTTTTAGTATATATAATGATTCCTAAAGTGTGTGAGAACAAGAGCAAACACAGGCACTTCTTACAAAATGTATTCTTTACAGTTTTCAAACATGGAATGCTTTTTCTGAAACTCCTACTCACTAAATGCAAAATGTTCTTAAAGCTGGGGAGGGGAGGAAGCAGAACCCCTCCTGAAAGACACAGGATTCCTCCACCTCTCCACCAGTGAGAAAATGTTTATTGGTACCATGGAAATGTTCTCATTGGTGGAAATTTTTCATTTTGTTTACTGTTAAACCTAAACTGAATGGAAGAGGAGTGCTAGAGTCTGTAAGTGAATAACTAAACTATAAAGAATATGCCATTTGTGCAAGAAGGTGAATCCACAAATGCCAGACCAGTTCATAAGACCACCATGAAAGGCTTCTGTTCTCCAGAAAATACTCTTTAAAAATACATTTGGGATAAAAGCCAAGGAGAGGGGAAGCAAGCTAAGGAGGAAAGTAGGAAAGTAGCAAAGAGAAGGGATATTGTATTAAGGAAGCCTACCAGAACCATGCCTTGTGTGTGAGTTGCAACTGGAGAGCTAAATAATATTTTATTTTTCATGCACCTATATAAGCTGTAAGTGTTGGTGCCATTAGAATCTACTTTCCAGGGGGACATACTTGCCTTTTCTATGTGCTGATCCTTAATGCAATCAGTGTAGGAAAACAGAAAAGGAAAAGATGCCAAAATTTTCTAGGTTTTTCTTTTTAACTTTAGAGATAAGCCAATGCAATTACTCAGAATGCAGGGACCTTTAAGACCATCACAGTATATTCTGGCTGGTTGGATGTGCTGGTGCCAGGTACATTCAGTAGTAAAGTAAATATTTCTCAAACACTGCTTTCATGGAAATAATCAGATTGCTTCCACTATGCAATGTGTAAAGTTTTCACTCCGGTCAAGAGCTTGAAGTCAAATGGGGGTGTGCCAGAAGAAAATAGAAGAAAGGAACAACTGTGGTGATTGCTGCTACAGCAGTGAACACTTTATTACATCTGGGCTAGCAAAATTAAGAAAACTGAAACCCCCTCTGTTATTAACCATGATAATTAATTATGTGTCTCTTCCTTGTTATTGCATTATTGGTCAAAAAGGTGCCACACCTTAGAAACATGTCAGCGTCAATGATCATAGACACCTATTAACTAGTTTTTAAAGAAAAAGAAAAAGGTACCTGCAGAAGTAACTGCTTTCAGAGTGTTTACTGTTTTATTTGGAGGATTTTGATCTTCCAGTCTCTCACACCTTCTTGGTTAACATTCATGTATAATCCAAATACAATCCTTAGCCTGGGTCATGTTTATTATCATAAACTACTACAAGGAAATTACCCTCAATTAATTGGTCAAATGGTTGATAAAAGTATTGCTTCTCCAAAATCATATGCCTAGTGTAGATGGAGAGAAGCCCTCAAATGCCACCATCAGGCATTTTGAAATTCAACCATTCCCGTGTACGCTCCAGAGACGTGCTTCAGATAGAGAACAGTCTGAGGGACTCTCACTCTAAAGAACAAAGGACAAATACAGTCAATGCATTCCATAACGTTTACATTTCCTTTGCTTTTCCCCTCTTGGTTTTCCCTGAGAAGGAATGACCTGGGCAAAGCACCCTGCTCTCTAAAAGACACTGTATAGACCTTTTAGAAGCGCAAAGTCCAAGGCCGAGGTGAACTTCAGGTCAGTGCGTCTAACAAATATGAAAATGTCGGCTGGTGAAGGGCGAGCCTTGTGATTTAACAAAGACTGTCAATGTATAAGATTAATAAGAAACAAAATGCACACAGTGTCACTGTTCGGTCACTTTGAAACTTGGGACAAGGTTGCATTCAAGAGGAAGGCTGTTCAAAATATATTCAAAATGATTCAAATCAGATTCAAACTAGGCTGCAAACACTGCCTCCCTCTCGCCCTCCTTCTCCCTTGGATTCCCTTCCCTTTCCTTCTCCATCTGGAATTCGAGGACATAATGAAAAGTCATTTCACTTAATGGGATTTTAAGACAGCTTTTGTTGGGAATATATGTTATCTCTGTACGTGGAAATGAGCAAATGTGCTTACCAGTTTCCAAGAAAAGGATAACGCTTTCACCCTGCTTGGAACTGGAGCCAGTTGGTGTGCGAAGATTATCACGCTCTCTCTCTGCTCGATTTCAGGGCATCCCATCTTTTCTCAGGCAAGATGCTGCTGGTAAACTTCAGTTTGTTTATTGAGTTAGTTTCTTCCTGGATTTACTTTGGTGTCTTGGATCTTATGTAAAGGCAAGAGTTGTGGGTTTTTTTTAAATGTTTTTTAAAGGATTATTATTTGATTCAATGGAATGGTGCGATGGCTTGCAAAGAGATTGTGGAAGGATCAGAAAAGGTACTGAGATTGTTTATTACAGCCATAAATCTTGCAGTAAAATGTCAAAATGTCCTTGTGTGAGATAACACTTGGTGGTCCTGGCTCCGTTTGTGTTTATGATACGAACCACAAAGACAAGTTACAGGCCTTGGGGGATTCTGTGTAAGCCCATCTTCCTAAAGTAATAGAACTGCATGAAACACAGCACAGTTAACTCGTTTAGGTTAACCATATACAAAACAGTGCCCATGCCTTGTTAATACTTTAAAATAGAAACTCAGTAGAAGGTTCTGAATGAATTCTGTGTTTAGTGTCTGTAAATAATATTAAACAGACATGGTTAAGACCCTAGTACTCAAGACGGATTACATGAGGAGGGTGAAATTTCCTTGTCATATTCTCCCCCTCAAGCTTGAGAACCCAGTTTTGTAAATTATACTATATATGTATTTTTCATACAACATAGTATATCATGTATGTATGTGTTATTTTTTCTTGCTGTAGAGAGATATTGGTTTAGGCAGCTGTATTACAGGCTAGATATTTCTCCAAGTCTAGAGAGGATGTCTCAAGATTATACTCAGCATTGATTTTTCTCTGTGGCTCAGATTTCATTAAAAATTGTTTTCCGGTTGCCACACTTCGATTGACAGCACTCTTCACAGGCACACATCCAATGTGGGAAACCTCTTTGGACCACTTCAGGGTGATTCCAGTTAGAAAGCTAACATGATCCCTTTTTTAACCTCTTTTCCTAAATTAGCTTAAAGATTAGCCTCATTTAATAGGCTTTATGTGGCTGAGCATTAAATGGCTATCCATCAAATGGATATATTCCAGCATTTACTAACTCATATGAGTAACTGATACAAATGAAGATGGAATTGACATTCCTTTTGAAGTGTCTCCAGATTTACGCTGTAACTTTCCTTGTCTGCGTTCCAGACTCAGTTGTGAGCTGGCTGTTTATACTGTTTGAAAAACCAACGAAGGTGCACCAGCTGAAAAATCCTTGCTTTGCAAGCCAATATGAAGTATTTTTAGAATGGTGACTATGCTAGTTTGCATTGCTTTAATCTAGGCTGAAAAGTAGAGGATCTAGTGTGTCTGTTACTTGGAAAAGGGAAGGGATACGAGTAAGGAAGGCATCAGTATTTACTTCAAAGATCAACATTAGGTGGAATTAATAAGAAATGTATTTGTTAATAATGGCGTAATTAGTTTACTCATCAAATTTCAATTACCAAATGGCGGGCAACAGTCCTCTCTCCCCCCTTTTCCTGAGCTGCTGATACCGTTAATATGCTAATTTTCATCAATTCAGAAATTATAGGCTGTCCTGTAAATATAACTTTAGCCTCAGATACCGCCTGAAACCATCCAAAAGACAAAACAACATTCTTAGCGGGAAAAGACCCGTCGGCGATCAAACTGGGCACAGTGCCTATTCTATCCTTAGCTTGTTTTTGTTCGTGGATTATTCTAAAATCGGAAGCTGTAGGTTTCAAAGCTTGGTGTTGTGGAGGCGTTGCTTCTATCCCTTCCCACCCTTGAGCCACCTTCTCTCTCACATTCGCACTTAGTAAATGCGAGCATCGACACCTTCTTCAAATGAGGTTCTATTAGAAAGGTTCCAATTTTTCTTAGGAGAAACACCAAATAGATTGTGCCTCTAAAAGAAATCAAATACAAAATGCCCACCCAGTTATATTGGAATGGCCTTTTACATCTTCCGGACGATTTCTCAGTTGCTCACCCACCCACCCTTTGGGGCTCCGGTCGGGCTTCTCAAAGCAGGGGTTCTTGGGCGGATGCGGCGAGAGCAAAGTGGGAAAAGGGATGAGCAGGTGAAAAAAAAACGGGCCTTTGGGCATCATTCATTTTATTCCAGGGCCAGGATTAAATGCAGGATACCCCTTTGGTCCCGACGCCATTCCCTCCACCAGCCGACCTCGAACCCTGGGGTACGTCAGACCGGGCTACCCTGGACCGGAGGTCAACGCTGGGCCAGAGCTGCCTCGAGGCCTAGGCTTGTAGTTGGGCACGTAAAGGGCCCGGCCTGGATGTCCAAGAAGACCAGAAGCCTGACTGGCCCCAAATTCCCAGAGAGACTCAAAGTTGGGGGGTTGGGGGACCGAAGCGCCAGCTCCCTCCCTCCGCCAGGGCCAGACAGCCGAATCCATCAACCAACCGCGCGCTTCCTGATCCGGGTCCACGCGCGTGGCGCGCCCATTGGCGGGGGTGGATCACGTGGGGGCATAGGCGGGGCGCGCGCAGAGCTGAGACGGAGCGCGTGCGCGCGGGCGGGGGAGGAGCGGCGCGAACTTTGGTGGCGTTGGCTGCGGAGGGAGGGGAAGGGGGAGGGGTGGGCGCTTGACAGCGGGGGATGGGAAAGGAGCAGGGAAAAGGGGGGATGGGAAGAGAGGCAGGAGGGGGAGGGGCCTCGGCGAGCCCAGAAAAACGACAACGCGAGAAAAATTAGTATTTTTGCACTTCACAAATTAATGACCATGAGCTCGTTTTTGATAAACTCCAACTACATCGAGCCCAAGTTCCCTCCCTTCGAGGAGTACGCGCAGCACAGCGGCCCGGGCAGCGGAGACGGCGGCCCGGGCGGGGGGCCCGGCTACCAGCAGCCCCCAGCGCCCGCGGCCCAGCACCTGCCACAGCAGCAGTCCCACCTTCCCCATGCGGGCAGCGGGAGCGAGACCCCTGCCTCCTACTACGCGCCGCGGGCGGCCCGCGAGCCCTCCTACCCCGCGGCCGCGCTCTACCCTGTACACGGTGCTGCCGACACCGCCTATCCCTATGGCTACCGCTCCGGTGCTAGCCCTGGGCAGCAGCCGCAGTCCGAGCAGCCCACGGCGCACACCAAGGGTCCCGCGCACGGCCTGCATGCGAGCCATGTCCTGCCGCCCGGGCGGCAGCCCCCGCCGCAGCCTCCCCCGCAGCATCGCGCGGCGCCCCCTGCACCCCCACGGCGCTGCGAGGCGGCCCCCGCCACCCCGGGCGTCCCGGCAGGGGGCAGCGCCCCCGCGTGCCCGCTGCTCCTGGCCGACAAGAGCCCGCCAGGCCTGAAGGGCAAGGAGCCCGTGGTGTACCCCTGGATGAAGAAGATCCATGTCAGCGCCGGTACGTGGCGACGCTGGGGAGGCGCGGGAGGGTGGGCTGGGGCCGGGGCCGGGTTAGCGGGTCGGGGAGAGGGTCAGGAGGAGAGGCAGAGGGGAAAGGGGCCTCGGGAGGGCAGCCCCCATCTGGCCCAAGCTACAGTGGGTTGTGGGTGTGTGCGCGCCAGCCAGCCGCCTGATCCCAACGTGAGAACCTTTTTGTACCGGGGGTCCCTTTATCAGGAGATTTACGAGACGCCAAACTGTTAGGGCAGTAATTATAGCCCCNGCCAGGCCTGCAGGCTGAGTCCTTGGCTTGCAAGGCGAGGCCGAGGCCAGGACACTAGCGCCCACAGGATACTGGAGACCTCGCGTTTCCACCGCTGGGAGGACCCGCCATCCCCCACCCCCGCACCGAGGACCAGGCCCTGAACCTTGTTTGCCTGCATGTTTTTTTATTTTGGTGGGACTGTTCTCACCCGCCTGTGAGTTTGAAGCAATAAACTTTATGGCCGGGTTTAACTTTAGTCTTTGAATCCCCAGGCTAAATGAAAGGAGTTAAAGTGCTTTCTTTTCTTCCGCCTTGCCTTTCTTCTCCTCTTCTTTCCTTTTCCTCTCCTCCTTTGTAGAATTAAAACCTCTATGCACAGGACCCTCAATAAGCAACTTAGGCATCCCCCTGGATAACCCTGAAGATCAGAGAAATTTACTTCCCCTCAACATACAGACAAACTCTCTCTTCCAAACTAAAGTTTGGAGGGAAATCGAGTAGTCTTCAGTGCCCAACTTAAAAGTCCCCAGAGCCATTAGGTTGTTTTTCCTGACACATCATAAAGGGTAGTTTGGGGAAGAAATTGGTCGTTTGTCAGTAGGAGATTTCCGCCTTTCTTTTGTTAGCTGCTCTTTCTGTTTGATCCCAGGAAATTTACATAATCTATGATTTCCAAAATAGTCCCCAGTATTGCACCAAACGGGTGAAGTAAGGTGAAATAAAAATTTTCCTGGATACAATTCCAGCTTGGCTCCAGCCACCCACTCTGGCCCCAAACCCCCATTATTCAGTAGCAAAGCAGTGACTGGGGATCCTGTGGCCTGTCCTGGGGTCTTTCTCTGGATGGGTACCCACAAGAAACCTAGCAGATGTCCCCTATCCTGTTTGAAGAATTAAGCCAAATGAAAGAAAAAAAAGGGGGATCTTCGGTCTCCAAATGTTGTTCTCCTTAGGATCTGGGTAGTTTCTGCAAGTACTAATTGGTAAAAATATGTATTGTACTAAGTACTTATATTAAAGAAAAAAATTTAAAGTATAGATTTGGAATTTCAACAAACTTTATTGTGCAGAGGCCACTTACACCTAAGTCCAACAGATGTTCCTATATCAGAGGTCCAAAAAGCAAAACCTGGGAAGTTTTTTTGAAAAATCAAAGCCCTCCCACAACTATCACTTCTCTGGAATAGTGGCAAGGTGAATTCCTGAAGTCATTTTTGTGTAACCTGTTAAAGTGAGCATTGCTACTTCAACCCTCAGGAAGGTGTGTCGGCATCTTACTGGGAAGTAGAATATAAACCTCTATTGGGGTTCTCTTTTGTTATTTTATATGTCTGAGAATTCTGGAGTCTTTGTTTTGCTGCTCTCCGTTTCAGGTTCTTCACTGGAAACTACTGGGTTAAGGTTTTAGTTGCTCATTTGGTAATCTTGCTTGAGTGATTTCTTGGTGACCAAAATTAGTAGCAGAAAGAAGAGTGATAGGGTTGCTTGCAGGTACATTTGTTAGCTGCTGGAGGAACGTGCCTGGAGGAAGTGTCCACACCACCTCCGTGGCCACACCCTACCCTGGGGTGTGGGAAGAGCAGAAGGGCTATTGGGCTGATCTTCAGCATTACACAATATAGACATTTTTCCCCAGGAACTAAAAAGAAAATTACAGATTGTAAATGTTGTCAGCTTGCTGACATCTGTCTGTTGCAATTTTCCTACAACTTTTGAGCTTAAAAGAGCAGGCCAACTCACATTGAGTTACATGACTTAAAACATACAGCATTCAGTCATAATAATGTGAATATTATTGGAGCAATATTTTTTCTTTCTTCTGCTTTCCTAGGAAGCATAGTGAAGAGAATGGCTTGTTATCTCCTCATTTGGCAGATATTTCTTCTCGTGCATTTTTTGGATTGTTTTTGCCAGAGAACTTACTTAGAAAAAAGAAATCTCTGTAATTGAGGGCTTTATGAAGACATTCAGCCTCAGCTGGTGGCAGAAGTGTCTGTCTGTGCTTCTCTTGTAAAAGGAGAAGGTGTCTGAAATGTGCAGGGCCTCGTTTGTTTCTACAAGCTGAAGAGACAATATTTCCTGAACTATGAATATAATAAGAAGCTTCTGGTCACACTTACTTAGGGTTTTGAAGGTTTCCGTGGTCTAATTTCACAACATTATGTTAAGATTCCTTTTCTCCTGCTCTTTTCCTCACTTCATTGTTGGTGGCTCTGGGAAAGCAAGACAGAATTTTCTATCAGAAACGGAGTCATTTTCATTTATTGAGATGTAAAGAGTATTTATAGCCAAACAATTAGTGAGGAGAGAGTAAATTACATCCTGAAAGATGAACTATTAAAAAGGAAAGCCTTGGAAGCCTCTCCCCTGCCTTAGCTCGGGAATCTCTGAGGTGTGCCGGCCCTGGAGAGTGCAGAATGCTGTGGGCTCCACCCTTTGGCTCCTAAGGCAGGATCTCTTTCTGTTCAATGACAAAACTATAAATGGGACTTCCAGACAGAGCTGAGGGGGGCAGCCTAGGCTCCCACCCACATAGGAGAGGGGAGCCACAGTTCTAGCCATTCTAAACACCAGAACTGGAAGATCTGCCTAGGTCTGTCTTGTTTGGTGTTTCTCACAAAGAAAGCTGTCCCTCTCCTAGTAGGTCCTCTCCCCCGCAATCCAGTCTTTTCCATAATAATATTTGTTATGAAGGTTATTGGGTAATTATTGCAATTTTGTGAAGCAGTCCTTGCTGGAGGTGAAGTCTGTCATCGCCTAACAAATGACGCCCGCGCAGTTCACTGCCGGGTTAAGTAAATGCAGAGAAGATAAATCTGCACACCCTAGGAATCGCCAGCAGAGCACGCTTTAGTACAAGTTCACAGTCAACTCGCCTGCCTGGGCCAGCTCTTCCAACAATTAGGGCTGCATCTTTATTTTTAAATAAAGAAAAAACGTCTCCAACTCCCATTCCCTGCTTTTTCCCCATCTTATTTTTTTCTTTCACATTTTGTGAGTGTCCCCTGTTCTAGCGCAAATTTTCCTCATAAATATAATGAGTGATTTTGAAATAATCTCATTCCTATTTAAATGCTGACAGAAGGAGGTAGGAGGCTGATTTGACAGGAAATACAGTCACAAAAATATCCATTTTACCCTCTTATTCCAAAAGGCAGTTGGCAGAAACAGGGTGTCCCTGAGATCCTTGGGGGCCCCTTCCCCTTGAAAGAAGAGGCCCAGCTTTGTGTATCTTTGTGGTTGCAACTGCAGGTCAAAAAGTTGAGGGTCAAAAGTTTATGTTGTGCAGCACTCTTAGTCATCTGCCCAGACAGAGTTTGATGTCAATGTTAGAGCTGCGATCTTGACTATCAGCACGAAAGATAAAATGGCTTGGAGTGATGCGTGTATCACGGTATGGACTCCAGGTGAACCCTAGTGGTTGAATGACCTCAATTACACAGGAAAGGATAGAAAATTCCTCTTTTCAAGAGTAATACATGCTGTATTTCATCTTGAATTATTGCTCCCATTCTGAGGGAATAGCAGCAGGTAAATAGGCATAGATTACTGAAACACCAACACCTTAGATGTTGGAGAACCAGGAGTCTGTAGGTTTGTCACAAAATTTAAAAAACCCTCACTACTCATGAGCCAACCTTTAAGAAATAATATAGCAAGTTCCCCCCTGTTCCATCCTACCTTCCAAGGCAAGAGAACAGAGCAGGAAACTTCTTTTATTTGAAAATGGTGGTTTTGATTGGCCAGTATGTTTTCTTTTTAGTATATATAATGATTCCTAAAGTGTGTGAGAACAAGAGCAAACACAGGCACTTCTTACAAAATGTATTCTTTACAGTTTTCAAACATGGAATGCTTTTTCTGAAACTCCTACTCACTAAATGCAAAATGTTCTTAAAGCTGGGGAGGGGAGGAAGCAGAACCCCTCCTGAAAGACACAGGATTCCTCCACCTCTCCACCAGTGAGAAAATGTTTATTGGTACCATGGAAATGTTCTCATTGGTGGAAATTTTTCATTTTGTTTACTGTTAAACCTAAACTGAATGGAAGAGGAGTGCTAGAGTCTGTAAGTGAATAACTAAACTATAAAGAATATGCCATTTGTGCAAGAAGGTGAATCCACAAATGCCAGACCAGTTCATAAGACCACCATGAAAGGCTTCTGTTCTCCAGAAAATACTCTTTAAAAATACATTTGGGATAAAAGCCAAGGAGAGGGGAAGCAAGCTAAGGAGGAAAGTAGGAAAGTAGCAAAGAGAAGGGATATTGTATTAAGGAAGCCTACCAGAACCATGCCTTGTGTGTGAGTTGCAACTGGAGAGCTAAATAATATTTTATTTTTCATGCACCTATATAAGCTGTAAGTGTTGGTGCCATTAGAATCTACTTTCCAGGGGGACATACTTGCCTTTTCTATGTGCTGATCCTTAATGCAATCAGTGTAGGAAAACAGAAAAGGAAAAGATGCCAAAATTTTCTAGGTTTTTCTTTTTAACTTTAGAGATAAGCCAATGCAATTACTCAGAATGCAGGGACCTTTAAGACCATCACAGTATATTCTGGCTGGTTGGATGTGCTGGTGCCAGGTACATTCAGTAGTAAAGTAAATATTTCTCAAACACTGCTTTCATGGAAATAATCAGATTGCTTCCACTATGCAATGTGTAAAGTTTTCACTCCGGTCAAGAGCTTGAAGTCAAATGGGGGTGTGCCAGAAGAAAATAGAAGAAAGGAACAACTGTGGTGATTGCTGCTACAGCAGTGAACACTTTATTACATCTGGGCTAGCAAAATTAAGAAAACTGAAACCCCCTCTGTTATTAACCATGATAATTAATTATGTGTCTCTTCCTTGTTATTGCATTATTGGTCAAAAAGGTGCCACACCTTAGAAACATGTCAGCGTCAATGATCATAGACACCTATTAACTAGTTTTTAAAGAAAAAGAAAAAGGTACCTGCAGAAGTAACTGCTTTCAGAGTGTTTACTGTTTTATTTGGAGGATTTTGATCTTCCAGTCTCTCACACCTTCTTGGTTAACATTCATGTATAATCCAAATACAATCCTTAGCCTGGGTCATGTTTATTATCATAAACTACTACAAGGAAATTACCCTCAATTAATTGGTCAAATGGTTGATAAAAGTATTGCTTCTCCAAAATCATATGCCTAGTGTAGATGGAGAGAAGCCCTCAAATGCCACCATCAGGCATTTTGAAATTCAACCATTCCCGTGTACGCTCCAGAGACGTGCTTCAGATAGAGAACAGTCTGAGGGACTCTCACTCTAAAGAACAAAGGACAAATACAGTCAATGCATTCCATAACGTTTACATTTCCTTTGCTTTTCCCCTCTTGGTTTTCCCTGAGAAGGAATGACCTGGGCAAAGCACCCTGCTCTCTAAAAGACACTGTATAGACCTTTTAGAAGCGCAAAGTCCAAGGCCGAGGTGAACTTCAGGTCAGTGCGTCTAACAAATATGAAAATGTCGGCTGGTGAAGGGCGAGCCTTGTGATTTAACAAAGACTGTCAATGTATAAGATTAATAAGAAACAAAATGCACACAGTGTCACTGTTCGGTCACTTTGAAACTTGGGACAAGGTTGCATTCAAGAGGAAGGCTGTTCAAAATATATTCAAAATGATTCAAATCAGATTCAAACTAGGCTGCAAACACTGCCTCCCTCTCGCCCTCCTTCTCCCTTGGATTCCCTTCCCTTTCCTTCTCCATCTGGAATTCGAGGACATAATGAAAAGTCATTTCACTTAATGGGATTTTAAGACAGCTTTTGTTGGGAATATATGTTATCTCTGTACGTGGAAATGAGCAAATGTGCTTACCAGTTTCCAAGAAAAGGATAACGCTTTCACCCTGCTTGGAACTGGAGCCAGTTGGTGTGCGAAGATTATCACGCTCTCTCTCTGCTCGATTTCAGGGCATCCCATCTTTTCTCAGGCAAGATGCTGCTGGTAAACTTCAGTTTGTTTATTGAGTTAGTTTCTTCCTGGATTTACTTTGGTGTCTTGGATCTTATGTAAAGGCAAGAGTTGTGGGTTTTTTTTAAATGTTTTTTAAAGGATTATTATTTGATTCAATGGAATGGTGCGATGGCTTGCAAAGAGATTGTGGAAGGATCAGAAAAGGTACTGAGATTGTTTATTACAGCCATAAATCTTGCAGTAAAATGTCAAAATGTCCTTGTGTGAGATAACACTTGGTGGTCCTGGCTCCGTTTGTGTTTATGATACGAACCACAAAGACAAGTTACAGGCCTTGGGGGATTCTGTGTAAGCCCATCTTCCTAAAGTAATAGAACTGCATGAAACACAGCACAGTTAACTCGTTTAGGTTAACCATATACAAAACAGTGCCCATGCCTTGTTAATACTTTAAAATAGAAACTCAGTAGAAGGTTCTGAATGAATTCTGTGTTTAGTGTCTGTAAATAATATTAAACAGACATGGTTAAGACCCTAGTACTCAAGACGGATTACATGAGGAGGGTGAAATTTCCTTGTCATATTCTCCCCCTCAAGCTTGAGAACCCAGTTTTGTAAATTATACTATATATGTATTTTTCATACAACATAGTATATCATGTATGTATGTGTTATTTTTTCTTGCTGTAGAGAGATATTGGTTTAGGCAGCTGTATTACAGGCTAGATATTTCTCCAAGTCTAGAGAGGATGTCTCAAGATTATACTCAGCATTGATTTTTCTCTGTGGCTCAGATTTCATTAAAAATTGTTTTCCGGTTGCCACACTTCGATTGACAGCACTCTTCACAGGCACACATCCAATGTGGGAAACCTCTTTGGACCACTTCAGGGTGATTCCAGTTAGAAAGCTAACATGATCCCTTTTTTAACCTCTTTTCCTAAATTAGCTTAAAGATTAGCCTCATTTAATAGGCTTTATGTGGCTGAGCATTAAATGGCTATCCATCAAATGGATATATTCCAGCATTTACTAACTCATATGAGTAACTGATACAAATGAAGATGGAATTGACATTCCTTTTGAAGTGTCTCCAGATTTACGCTGTAACTTTCCTTGTCTGCGTTCCAGACTCAGTTGTGAGCTGGCTGTTTATACTGTTTGAAAAACCAACGAAGGTGCACCAGCTGAAAAATCCTTGCTTTGCAAGCCAATATGAAGTATTTTTAGAATGGTGACTATGCTAGTTTGCATTGCTTTAATCTAGGCTGAAAAGTAGAGGATCTAGTGTGTCTGTTACTTGGAAAAGGGAAGGGATACGAGTAAGGAAGGCATCAGTATTTACTTCAAAGATCAACATTAGGTGGAATTAATAAGAAATGTATTTGTTAATAATGGCGTAATTAGTTTACTCATCAAATTTCAATTACCAAATGGCGGGCAACAGTCCTCTCTCCCCCCTTTTCCTGAGCTGCTGATACCGTTAATATGCTAATTTTCATCAATTCAGAAATTATAGGCTGTCCTGTAAATATAACTTTAGCCTCAGATACCGCCTGAAACCATCCAAAAGACAAAACAACATTCTTAGCGGGAAAAGACCCGTCGGCGATCAAACTGGGCACAGTGCCTATTCTATCCTTAGCTTGTTTTTGTTCGTGGATTATTCTAAAATCGGAAGCTGTAGGTTTCAAAGCTTGGTGTTGTGGAGGCGTTGCTTCTATCCCTTCCCACCCTTGAGCCACCTTCTCTCTCACATTCGCACTTAGTAAATGCGAGCATCGACACCTTCTTCAAATGAGGTTCTATTAGAAAGGTTCCAATTTTTCTTAGGAGAAACACCAAATAGATTGTGCCTCTAAAAGAAATCAAATACAAAATGCCCACCCAGTTATATTGGAATGGCCTTTTACATCTTCCGGACGATTTCTCAGTTGCTCACCCACCCACCCTTTGGGGCTCCGGTCGGGCTTCTCAAAGCAGGGGTTCTTGGGCGGATGCGGCGAGAGCAAAGTGGGAAAAGGGATGAGCAGGTGAAAAAAAAACGGGCCTTTGGGCATCATTCATTTTATTCCAGGGCCAGGATTAAATGCAGGATACCCCTTTGGTCCCGACGCCATTCCCTCCACCAGCCGACCTCGAACCCTGGGGTACGTCAGACCGGGCTACCCTGGACCGGAGGTCAACGCTGGGCCAGAGCTGCCTCGAGGCCTAGGCTTGTAGTTGGGCACGTAAAGGGCCCGGCCTGGATGTCCAAGAAGACCAGAAGCCTGACTGGCCCCAAATTCCCAGAGAGACTCAAAGTTGGGGGGTTGGGGGACCGAAGCGCCAGCTCCCTCCCTCCGCCAGGGCCAGACAGCCGAATCCATCAACCAACCGCGCGCTTCCTGATCCGGGTCCACGCGCGTGGCGCGCCCATTGGCGGGGGTGGATCACGTGGGGGCATAGGCGGGGCGCGCGCAGAGCTGAGACGGAGCGCGTGCGCGCGGGCGGGGGAGGAGCGGCGCGAACTTTGGTGGCGTTGGCTGCGGAGGGAGGGGAAGGGGGAGGGGTGGGCGCTTGACAGCGGGGGATGGGAAAGGAGCAGGGAAAAGGGGGGATGGGAAGAGAGGCAGGAGGGGGAGGGGCCTCGGCGAGCCCAGAAAAACGACAACGCGAGAAAAATTAGTATTTTTGCACTTCACAAATTAATGACCATGAGCTCGTTTTTGATAAACTCCAACTACATCGAGCCCAAGTTCCCTCCCTTCGAGGAGTACGCGCAGCACAGCGGCCCGGGCAGCGGAGACGGCGGCCCGGGCGGGGGGCCCGGCTACCAGCAGCCCCCAGCGCCCGCGGCCCAGCACCTGCCACAGCAGCAGTCCCACCTTCCCCATGCGGGCAGCGGGAGCGAGACCCCTGCCTCCTACTACGCGCCGCGGGCGGCCCGCGAGCCCTCCTACCCCGCGGCCGCGCTCTACCCTGTACACGGTGCTGCCGACACCGCCTATCCCTATGGCTACCGCTCCGGTGCTAGCCCTGGGCAGCAGCCGCAGTCCGAGCAGCCCACGGCGCACACCAAGGGTCCCGCGCACGGCCTGCATGCGAGCCATGTCCTGCCGCCCGGGCGGCAGCCCCCGCCGCAGCCTCCCCCGCAGCATCGCGCGGCGCCCCCTGCACCCCCACGGCGCTGCGAGGCGGCCCCCGCCACCCCGGGCGTCCCGGCAGGGGGCAGCGCCCCCGCGTGCCCGCTGCTCCTGGCCGACAAGAGCCCGCCAGGCCTGAAGGGCAAGGAGCCCGTGGTGTACCCCTGGATGAAGAAGATCCATGTCAGCGCCGGTACGTGGCGACGCTGGGGAGGCGCGGGAGGGTGGGCTGGGGCCGGGGCCGGGTTAGCGGGTCGGGGAGAGGGTCAGGAGGAGAGGCAGAGGGGAAAGGGGCCTCGGGAGGGCAGCCCCCATCTGGCCCAAGCTACAGTGGGTTGTGGGTGTGTGCGCGCCAGCCAGCCGCCTGATCCCAACGTGAGAACCTTTTTGTACCGGGGGTCCCTTTATCAGGAGATTTACGAGACGCCAAACTGTTAGGGCAGTAATTATAGCCCCCATAAATTTAATTGCCCTGGCAGAGGCTTCAGGCCGTGTGTCTTTGAAGCTTTTCTTCAGCCCCAATGCCCAGCACCATTCTTTATGGCTCTCGGGTGTTTCCCGTTGTCAATAGCCTGTGAAACATTTTCTTTTGCCGTTTTATGTGTCTTGCGTGAACTTGGTGTCAGGTTATTATATAATGATGATGTCCAATTGCTCTTCCCCACCCCACCTTCTTTCTCCTCCTCCTTTCCCTTTCTTCCACTCCCTCCTCCTTGGCTCGGGGTTATGGGCGTTCAGTCAACCCCAGTTATAACGGAGGGGAGCCCAAGCGTTCTCGAACCGCCTACACCCGGCAGCAAGTGTTGGAGCTGGAGAAGGAGTTCCACTTTAATCGCTACCTGACCCGGCGGCGCCGCATCGAGATCGCCCACACGCTCTGCTTGTCCGAGCGCCAGGTCAAGATCTGGTTTCAGAACCGGAGGATGAAGTGGAAGAAAGATCACAAACTGCCCAACACTAAGATGCGATCCTCCAGCTCGACCTCGGCCTCAACGGGCCCGCCAGGGAGAGCACAAACTCAGAGTCCACACCTGCATCCCCACCCCCACCAGGGCGCCTCCACACCCATTCCCTCTTCCATATAATCTCCTAGAGATCTAGACGAGTTTCTTTCCCTCCCCTCCTTTTATTCTCTTCTACCCTTTTCCCCATCCACCCTCCCCGTCTGAACCATAAAAGACCCCAAAACGAAACCCACCTTGGTGAAAAGGATAATAAAAAAAAGAAGACATTACCCTGGTAAGAGTGTATGTTAGTTGCTATCCAAGAGAGGACAATGGCCACGATGCTGGCTGGTGGAACAACCTACTGGCCTGAACAAGACTGCTAGGTTTGGGTACCCTGAGAAGGACCACTGCATCAAATACTTTTGAGATGGCTAGTCAGCAAAGCAGCCGATGCTGACTGAGGACATGTACATGAATACTTGTTGCAAGCAGAAGAAAACAGATCCTTTTCCCAACTTCCTTACATCCTCCTCCCCCATTAAGGAAGCTCTCATACAAGCTTGTGTTGAACTGAATATATGATGAGTAGACATTGTGGACCTCACAAGATTATTTAATTCTCAAAATGTGGCAGTTGATGTGACACATGTTAGTTTCCCTTCCTTGCATTTATTTAAAATACTGTTATAGAGATACTGGTGTCTTATTCTAAGACACAATCTTGAGGGAGAGGAGAGTGCATTTAGACCCATGTACATTGTACAAATTGTGGTGTGGCTATATAAAAAGCCATGTGCTAAGAATAAACTCCGTTTAAAAAAACATTAAAGTTCTAAGACAGGATTGTGTGTTTCCTAATTTAATTTAAAAAAACCAAGTTCTCTGGATTGAGATGCTTGACTTGCATGTAAAAATTTTGTAGATGGCTTGAGGTGTGTTCACTTGGACTGATTGTCCCATAATTTGTGTCAGTGTGTTCAACTTGAGCTGAACTCTTGTTAAGTTTGACCCACTGTGGGAAAAGTTCCAAAGAGTAGAAAGGCTCTTGAGTTCTGAGAGGGCTCCTCTTCTTCCCAAACTTGGCCAGGCTTTCAGCCTTCAAGTCTCTGTAAGGCACAGAAACGCGTCCTTCCCTGCAATGAAAGGTGAAACCATGCAGTACTGTGGCCCAGGAGTTTTTGCAGCTGTTCTACATGCTGAACACCAAGCACACTTGGAAAGAAGTAGTCCCTTTGGTATTTATTGCACCTTCATATTTAATCTGCCTGTTTCCATGGAAATAAAAAATAGTTTGTGCGAAGGGTTGAGATTGCTTTTTGTTTCTTGGCTGTTTTTAAGGTTCTTTTCTTCCCTAGCTTCAGCTTGGGAATTTTTGTTTGCTTTTCTGTTTCTTTTCTTTCTTTCTTTTTTTTAAAGGAAAAACTTTCAAAATAAACGGAGTTTTCTCAGTACACCCTCCAGAGTTTCTCCTGAGAAATTAAAAAGCGTAATGACACTCCAAACCACACCCCAAACAAGGCAGACCTGGGAGTATTCAGTGCTGGCAGAAAGCCAAACTTTCAGCTAGGGTCACTTTCCTTAAATGTGCTTAGATCCCAAAGGTTGAAAATCAAAACCCACTTCTCAGTCTCGATGGCCTCAGTAATTGTTTACTGATTTACAAATCAGTAAAGAGGATTTAGACTTGGTGGTAACTGAAGGAAGTACTTTGATGCAGAAAACCAACAATGCTAGCCTCAGAATATTAGAACTGTCACCTGGCCTTGAATGAGTGCAGTTTTTAGTTCATGTAATAATTTTGGCAGAGATTGGAGTAGGCACTCATCTACCTTTGCAATATCAGAGGAATTTTAAGAACGTTTTTCCAGCAATAGCATACCTTTAGCCGGTGGTCAGGGCTGGTACTGCTTTTGCCTCTTCTGCCCTGTGTGTGATACAGGCACGGGTGATCAGTTTGTTACCTATGAACAAGCCAGATCTGAGAGGAAAATGATGGACACCAGTCTCTGATGGGTCTCCACCTCTCCCCAGGAAAATTCAGGGACAAATAAATACACTTGGTCCCACGTCGGGTCAAACCTGGCATAAAGTGCATTTTATAAGGTGTGAACGGGTGCCAGGGATTTCTGGAGGCACTGCAACTGCTGCTGAAACTTACTGACCCTCCCTCTTCTACAGAAACTTTTAAAACGAAATTAAATTGCGCTGAAAATAGCAATTTTCCCGGGGATCATTAATCACCTCATACAATAAATACTTCTTTGTAATTCAACAGCAATTCTGAAAGGCATTCTCTGGGAAAAGTCTGTGGAGAAGTGAGGGATCCTCTTGCAAATAATGTGGCCTCGGCAAAGACAGAGTATCCTGGCTGTCCGCTCAAAAAATGCCTAGACTGTTGGTGGAGAATGAGTGGTGGGCTGCAAGACCTCAAATGGCAGATTATCATCACTTAAGGTAAATTGTTACATTTCTCCTTTGTAGGGAAAGAGGGTTATGCGGATATCCATCAGTCTCATACTGAAGTTGCATGGGAGTGAAACAGATAACTTTCTTTCACTTACTCTTGTAATCTATCCAGAAGAGAGAAGATCGAGATTGTTTCTCTAATATTCCAGAATAGAAAAGGGGCATTTTTGCCTAAACTGTCTTGATTATTAAAGTATTGGTAAGTATTGCAAAGCCAAAGTTATCCAAAATGATCCAAATGATTGTATCATTTCTTCACAATGTTTTGCCTGTTTCAGATCTGGCCTTTAAGAAGCTTGTTATAACAGCTTAGAAAATCCCACTTTGGGCTTCAAAATCATGCATTGTCTTCCCTTTGCTAGGGCAACCATAAGAGTTCACCCAGAGGACAAATTTTCTCTCTCATTAATTGTTTTTTTTTATAAGCGAACCCTACTGGCCTCTCAAACCCTTGACCTTTAAAGACAGTATTTTGTATAAGCTCTGTAACTCTCCTACCAAAATGACCCTTACACATGTTCTTCTCCTCTTTCTCTTTCTTCCTTCTATCTCTTTCTTCCTTCTTTCCTAACATACACTGATCTGCTTTAGTCACAGAACCAAGCTGTGCATGACTCTGGAGATAAAAGTTTTGTCAACATCTGAAATCAACCTAAACCGGATAGGAGACATTTTAATGGTCACAGTTTGAATTAAGTACTTAACACTCTCCCCCCTGAAGAAAAATGGCACTTTGCAGGCTCTCTTTCCTAGTTTTGCTGGAATCTATGATATACCCGGTGTTTTATTACAGCAGGAATTCAACTGTGACAGGCATAGTAGAGTACTTAATACCCAGGATGCAGCTCATGGGAAGATTACCTAGATATATGGGGAGTGGGCCCTCTGCACAGCATCTCTAACTTTACACCCAGCTGTCCCAGGGTGCCCACATTTCTCCCTCTGCTCAACATCCTCCCCCTGGGATCAGTACCACCATCTCTCCTCTGTCCCCTTGCTACCCTAAGCTTTTAAACAGTGCTGCTCTTCTCACTGCTGCCTCCCTCCAGCAGTTTTAACATAGAAACAGATAGACATAGAAATAGATCAGCAACTCTTTAGAATGGGAGGAAAGAAAAACCCCAAAGAATCAACGTAGCAAACAGAAACCTGGGGCTTCCCATCTGAATGAGTGGGTTCTGTGCAGACAATAAGCTGTTCTTTGCACTTCTCTGGTTTCTACATCCCTAGCCACTGTCCTGTATTGAAGAACACAAGATCACCCTTCCCAATGGCTGCTTCTGTTGCCCCATCTCCTTATTATACACCACTGGTCCAAAAATAAACTGTTCCTTATTTCAGAGTGTGAGCTGGGGAAAATAGGAGGAAAAATATGTGTTCTAACTCTTTGAGAGCATCAGGAAGGCTGCTGTGGCTGTTATGAAACATACTAATCTGAAACTTCTGTCTTGGAATTCTGGCATCTCTTCTTCTCAAGGCCCCAAGCTCATGGAGTAACCCCATCCCCATTTCAGACCAGCCCCATTCTCACTGGAACTAATTCCTGGAGCTAAGATGTGCCCTGATGGAAAGAATGCCCAACGTGAAAGAAATCTGGAGGCTATTTTGGTTCCATCCTCTCAGTTTACCGATGAGAAAACTGAGGCAGCTGAATGCTCCTCCTCCCCACTATGTTCTTGTTTCTAAGTGCGTAGGTTGAATAGAGCCACTGGTCCCACGGTAGGTAGGGGGAAGTTCACAGGCATCTTTCCTGTGGAAGCCTAGTCTACCTGGAATAGACGTATGCATCTTGGTTTACACTTGACACGGACGCCACAGGTGTGCCCAGGTGAGGGAAGGAGGGTGGGTTCTTGCCTCATGCGCCGTCAAAGCAGCCCTGGGATGTTAACCAAATACCCTCAACCCGGGCCTGGAGACAGGTGGACACCCCCACCGTCCACAGTTCTCGTAGTCCTGGAGTGACTAATTCTGCTGTGCTCGCCCTGGGATTTCGGTGGTAGTCACTGAGTCGGGAGGTGGGCAAGCGCTTCTGCGTTCCGGAGGCCTGGAAACTAAAAAAGGCCAAACAAGTACCCCGGTTGCAGCAGATAAAGGTGTTGCGCCTGTTCGAGGGAAATATTGAAATTGTGATCTCCGAGGTCACGTGACTCATTAAATAATTAATGCGGATCGTCAGGAATGGATTGGAGTCGTCAGGGCCTCTCTAAGAATGAATCTCTCAGAAGTGAGTCTCCAACTTCCTATTTGATTTAAAAAAATACACACCCTCAGGTTAATCTCCAAAGGCTTTTAACTCCTTCTGGAGGCCTAGAGGGAGCGCTTCAGCGAGGAGGACCGGAGCTGGCGGGACCACGCTGGGTCTTGCGGTTTTTTCTGCGGGGTTTCTGCGAGACTGGGGAGCGCGCCGCGTCCGGGGAAACGTGAGTTTGGGCTCGGGTTTTCTGCGGTCACGTCCTGGCTTTGGTGATGAAGTGGGACCGATGCGCAGACAGTTGGTAATGTTCTGATTCACACTGGGGACGGCTGCAGAGATACCATAGGACGGGCGCGCGGCTTTGTTCAATTTTCCCGGTGTTCATAAATCACCCGCTCCGGGCGAGCGAGGGAGCAAGCGAGCACCAAAAGCGCGGAGAGGCCACAGCGGCGGCCATTGCAGAGGGAGAGACCTGGGCAACATCTCTTTGTGACTCATTAGTCTGAACGATTTATGGGGAACCTCATCCTTGAATATTTGACTGGGGGATAAGGAAATAGCAACAATAGTAATAACCGTAATGATTACAATACTCCTAAGCGTCGCGGAGGGGAGGAGGGCGGCGGCGGATAGTGGCATAGTGGATCTTTCTGCTGCGAAGTTGAGTGACAATGCACAGGGTAGCTAAGCCACACCTTGCTCAGGGTCACGCCAGGAGCCCCAAGGCCAGGGGGCATTCCCTTTAGGGACTTAGAGGGCTTGTTTGAACAAGAAAAAGGGGCCTAGCATGGATTCTGAGTCCCAAGTGGAAGGTGGGGGCTGTAGGTCAAGGAGGTGCAGAGGGCAGCTAACTGCTAGTTTTTGGTCACTTGTTCAATGTGTTAGGGGGCCTGAAGCCCGGGGGATCAGGGGAGTTGTCAGCTATTTGGTAACCTCTCTGGGCACACTAATCAGCAGGATTGCATGGAAGCAGAATAGCCATTGACGGCTGGTTTGGGGCTAGCTGGAGTGTGGAGAGGCTGCCTGGGCCTGGGTGAAGGGGTTATGGGACAGGCATAGAGCAGTGAAAGCAACTGAACCCCCAAGAGTCCCAGCCCAGTGAAGAACTCCAAGCCAGGGCCAAGCACTAGAAGATTTTTTGCCCCTTGCCCAGCATCTTCCCTCCACCGTCCGAAAGTTGGCTGACCACTTATTTGCTAGTTGGAGAGCAAGACAGGGTTGCAAATATGTTGAGGGACGAGGTGGCAGCAGAATTTGGGCATGGTGCTGGGCAAGGCGAGGCTGAATAGGGTCCCCAGGTCGTGTATTGTCCAATGTCTGCTTCCTTCCCAGTTTCTCCCTATTTCCATCAGCCTTAAATGGCCTGCTCTGAGGAATGGGCACCGGGCAGTCCTACTAGCCCACTGGGACCAAGAAGAGACTGCCCAGGGCTTGAATGAAGCAGAAAACAAAACCTCTCAAGACTGCCCCCAGCCCATGGACTAAGCCAGAGACTGATTTCTCGCCAAACATAAATGAACACTATTTGTGAGGTTTCAGGAGAGTCCATGATTGAATGCTCCCAGACAAGGCTTCCCTTTGTTAGCAAAAGAAAATAAAGCGTGCATTCACATTCTCCAAGTTGAGGTGCGAGAGGAGAGGTCTCCGACCAGAGACCGCACCAACAGCAAAGCCTCTTCTACCCTCCTAGCTTTCTCCGCCTCGTCTATTTTTCCCCCTTCCTCCATAAAAAGAAAGAAAAAAGAGAGTGTGGGTGCGGAGATGGAGTACGTATTTATTCTACAAAAATAAATCACTATCTAAAGGCCATTTGTAGACTGGACCCTTTCGAGAAATGAGTGTGCCGCATGGACGAGTGCCCTGGCGACTCCTCCGTGTCCGCGTCACCCGGGGGGCCACCCTGGCGCCCGCGCCGGCAGCGGTTCCAACTCCGGTTCTCTAACTCCCTTCCTTCGCAGCCACCGTTCACCCTCTGCTGTTTATTTGTCCACAGAGCGCCCGAACACCGGAAAAGACGATTCCCTGAGCACCCGGAGTTGGAGGCAATCTCTGGTTCAGCCTTAAACATCTTTGGAGGTAAGCGCTGCGCCGAAACTCTTCAGTGCGCCGGGACTTGGCTCTTCCCAGGTGGCTCAATCCTTTGAAAGAGGTTCTGGTCAATATGTAACTTCCGAGAAGTTTTGGAGCTCGGTTGCCTTCAGCTGCACCGCCGGAGAATGCGGGGCTTCAGGCGGACAAAGAGCCTGCCCCAAAGCCGAGTTTGTGCAGGAAAGGCGTCTGCAGAGACCGAGAACGTGTGTGCGTGGGGGGAGGTGGGTGTCAGAAGGGTGTGTTGTTTCTTCCGGCAAGCGCCAAACAAACCTCTACACGAAACAGTAGGGCAAAAGCAAGTAGAGGCCACGGGCGTGGCGGCCGCTGCGTGGGCTGCTCTCCTTTTCGACTGTTCTCGGAGCCTGTGAGTTCGGAAACTGTCGTCAGCTCTTCGTTGAGGAAACAACCTCGTCACCTTGCAGATTCTCCCTTATTTTTGCCTTTCCTTGGCATGAGGGAAGTTGCTGGATTTCAAATACGTGGACCATCGCAGGCAGCCGGTCTTCATTCCTTTAGCGGGGTTGATCTGCTGTTCTTCCTACGGAAAAAGCCCGGGTTTTCTTTTCCTATTTGGAACAAGGGAAAACTCTTAAAAATTATTTTCAAGTTCTGGCTTAATTTATTCTCTTAGTTTGGGATGCAGGGAGGTAATTACTGTGGTTTATTACCTTGTAAAAGATCCATAAATTTTGTGCCTATTTGGGGGAGGGGCTCCTGAAATAGCTTTCGGAAGCTTTGTGTGAAGGAATGGGTTTGCTATGTTCTTTCTGGAATTACTTATTTTAGAAAGTTTTCTGAGATTTTGTTTTCTATTCCCTCGGCCTCAGTTTTTGTTAGAGTTTGCTCCCCAAATAGATATCATGTTGTTAATTAATTGCAATATGCTATTTAGTGACTCTTTAAGGCTGGTATGGTGGTCTGGATACAATTATTATTTTATCCAATAGGAAGTAAATAAAATAGTAAAGTGGGGTTACTTTTTCAGCTACTGTATGTCTATTTATATCAAGCATAGACACAGTCATTTCAGGAATTAGCAACTCTGTGTGTACATATGATTTGCATCACAACAGAACGATTGCATGTGTAGATGGTTGCAGGAGTTTGTGACCATGTCTATAAAATGATATATACATCTATATGTGTCCAGATAACTTGGAGCCCATTTGTATTGCAGCTGTACCCACAGGTAATATTTCATGTTAAATAATGATCTATAACCTACACACACACACACACACACACACACACAGTGAGCTAAGAGAGCCTTACCTTATGCTGAGTAGAAAAACCACTTGAGTTAACTAAAGGGAGAAAAATGTAAATGTTAAGTGTATTTTTGACAGAGAAATTAGATTACAGTGTTTGAATACAGCTATATCTAATCTGCCAACAGCCTTGCAAATATTGACTAAAGCTCTGTATCCTTGGTCACCTGCTCCTTCCAAGACAACTTTGTGCCTGTTTTAGTTCTGCTGGTGTGGATTCAGGGCATCTATCCCCAGCCCTGGCCAGGTTGGGGGCTGGGGATTAAGTGGAGAGGGACTGGCAGCTGTGTTTCCCAGCCTAGACATAGATACTTGAACATCTCTATTCTTGTTCTGTGGAACTTTTAACTTTAAAAGGCCCATAGCTTTGCTCCAGAGAAGTGGATTTCAGCGTGGTGAAGGAGGACTCTCAGCTGCTGGTTCCCTAGTGGCTTGCTCACACAATAGTCTAGGGAAGCTGTTTTCACTTTAAAAGTTTCATTTCCTTTGACTTCCTCAGATTTTTCTCTTCACATTCACCGAATCACCCCATCCCACCCCGGGTCGTTAATGTTAATTGTTAAACAGCAGTTGGAGTATTAACTGAACCGTTAATGTGGGCATGGAAGCTCCTGGCTGGAACTGAGATGCCGCTGGGCCTTGCTGGCGTTAAGGCATTTCTCTGAAGCTGTACCAAAGACTTTCCCCATTGATTTATGACCTCAGGAGTTTCGATTTGCTCTACACTGTTCTGAGAGTTCTAAAGAGGCCCCTTCTCCTGTTCGAGTTGAAGCCTCTGCAGAAACTTTGACTGGGGTGGAGGGAATTTGTCAGCAATCCAGCAATACTTACAGGTCTTTCCTAAGCTATCTGGAGAGAATGAAATATTGGTGGGGGTGGGGGGTGGGCATAAAGGGAACAGAGGACGGTGTATTAGTGGGCTGAGTCCTTGGGGAACTGGAGAGTGCTTTTTGGAAACTAGTTTTTGGTTCTGTCTCCCACTGCTAAACCTGAGAGAAGCAGGTTTTTACTTTGCGTTCTCATGTTTGAGCTCATGGCTTAGGTCAGAGCTGGGAAAGTTCATATAGAGGTTCTCTCTCTGTTATACCATAGACAGAGCCTTATTGTTATACTGCCCACCAGCTCAGGCCAGGGCTCACTTCTAAGGGATTAGATCTCCTCCTCTTTTATTGCCCTTCTGATTTGGACACCCCCATGACCAGGACCCCTTACTGAGGGCCTAACATTCTCACCAGGCTCCTTCTGTTCCTCTGTAGGGGAGGAGATGAAGGGAGGAATCATGCACAGCCTCTTACAGCTGCTACAAGTGAGTCCTCTCTCTTAGAGGCCTAGCCAGCTGAAGACCCACTCTCAAGAAAAAAAAGAATTTGGCATGAGGACCTCACCATCTCAGAACACTCACAAAGTTCAAAAAGTAAGACCTGACAAGAGGGACTTCTTTGAGTGTGTGAGAGGGTGAAGTGTTGTATTCAGTGGACAGTGTCACCAAGCAGAAGGCAAGAATAGGATTGGGATGGGGTGGGGGTGGGGGCTTATTTGTTTCAGCCAGGTTCCTCTGGAGCAGAGTTGGTGCAGTTCAGTTTCTGCTGGTGGACAGAGTTGTCTTGGGGGACAGTGAACAGACTCATCTGCAGAGAGGGTCCCAGGCTGTCTTATAGGTTAGTTCAACGGATGCCAGCAAAGGTTGGTCCTTTTTTTCCTCTTGCAAAGACAATTAGATTTTCACCTTATATATTTCATCATTACAAGTCTATAATTTCTTGTATTCCCTCAGCAATACAATGAGGATATGTGTAACTGCAGGTTTGGCCTGGGCACAGGGTCCCACCAAATTTTACAAAACTCTGACCCACTTCTGTAGAGCCAAGCACCTCTTTTCCACGGGGCTCCCATGGAAAAAACCAGAGGGACTTGAAGGAAGTACTTCAGCCTTTTGTCAGGTAATTTTGGACCTTTTGGGTTTCTCCAGTGGCTGCGGTGTACAGCGTGGGTGTGAGCAAACTCCGTACAATGGCAGGCCATGAGGGAGTCCACTGACTAGGCCGTTATTACTGGGTTTTCTTCTGGAAACAGGCCTGCGAATTGCCTTTTGATGTACTGGCCAGTGGACCAGAGGAGACTGGAGAGCTTGAGTGTGCTGGGTTCAGTTTGTCAGTGAGTGGAAGATTGTAAGAAAAGTTATTTGGACTCTAAGAATGGGGACAGCATTGCTGTTTCCTTGTGTATGGATTATGTGTAAAGAAATATAATCGGGGATAAGTGGCCTTGTGTAGCATGTGTTGGGGTGTGGGGAGACACCCCCAGCATCCTACTGCCCTAGACAAAACTCTTCTCCACTGCCGGTCAGGGTCCTCCACTTCTCCTCCCCCAAAGCTAAGTGTTCTGCTTGGAAACCTAGTTCCTTCAGTGATTCCCTATTTCAAATAAAAGGATTTAAGTTGACGTATGACCACGTGAGCACATAATACAGCGCATTATTGTGGCATTTGGAACGGAGACCCGGGCGGGCTACGCCTGTGATTACGTTTTCTAGATTCTCTACAGAGCGAGAGCTTACTCCCACCCCCACACACCCACCTCCTCCTTCTTCCCCTTCTCCGGAGAGAGCTCTCCTAGCGGGTTGCAGTTTTCATCGCTCATGGAGTGGCTCTGGGAGAGCTAGCCGATGGGACCCGAGCCCACACCAGGAGGATGGAATTTATTTTAAGGTATTTCCGCTGATTGTTCATATCTAGAGTGAGTTATGGCTGTGAGAGACAAAGGTCAGGCGAGGAGACCCTGGTTCACGGCAGGACTCTTAGCCCCTTTCTTCCTTTGTTTCTCCTTTAGAACCGAAACCGTATGAAAGATCCCTAATAGTGCCTCAGACTGAGTTTAAATCCCTGGAAAGTGTTGAGGGTGTAAAGAAAGGGGCACTTGGGGGCTTCTAGGTGGGCCCGGTGGCCTCCAGCGCTTCGGTGGCTTTGTCCACTGCAGCGGGGCTTGAGTCTCAGGAGCTGCTGAGCCCCAGGCAGAGGGAGGGTCCCGAAGCACCGGCGGGGCCGAGCTCGCTGGGCGAGACTGCCTGGAGGGGGTGGGGGCTCGCTGAAGGAGAAGGGGAATTGCTCAGGCTGGTCATGTTAGCTAGCCTGCGATGGAGGGTTAGGGCTGACCTGGGTAGTAGGAGCAGCTGGGAAAGGGAAATCAATGAGTGCAGATGCGCTGCCATTTTATTGATGATGCTTCGGGCCACTTTGTTCAGTATGGGGTTTGCAGGACTGTCTTTACCACCGAAATAACCCGACTGCAGGCCGAGCCATTGTTTTCCTGTGCACCCTCTGCCTGAGTAGGGGTGGAGGAGGATAGCTCAGATCTAAGAGAGGCTTTAGCAAGCATGCTGGATGCTCAGAAGCTCTGTAGTAGTTCTATCATTCGGGAGACAGGAAGCAGGGAGCCACAGCTGGGTTTGGGCTTCATAATATGCATGATCTGGACACCCCCTTGTGCGGATTTGGAGAGTCCCAGGACTGGCCAGTGTGCCGTGGGCTGGAGGGAAGTCTGGAGGCAGAGTCTACAGGAAGCAGAAGTAGACATTTCTCTGGCTTTGGAGTCCCAGAAATGGTGCTGTAGCCAGATGGAGGCAGATGAGAGTTAAACTGTGTGCTTACAAATTACTAGGAAAGCCCAAGCAAATTGGGCTTTGGGGACCCAGCACTTCTGGGAAGGATGGAAACTCCCTGAAAAGGTGAACGAAACTATCTATCCTCTGCTTTTGGAACTCTCAGACCAGGAACTGGGAATAAGATTTGCCCGGCACTTTTTTTAAAAATCGTACTTCTTTTGTACTTGAGAAAAAAAAAATCAAATCAGCCTTCCCCTACTTGACCAGAATTTACTTCACCAGAATGGAAGGGCTGCTTCTGCCCTCCCTTGCTATCGGCTTCAGTGCTGTGTTTAACTGAGGCAGTTTCAAGTGCTCTAAAACACTCCTTGAAAATAAAATGTAAGCTTTAATTGCTGTTCAATTACTTGTCAGCATTTCATATGATTTATGACCCAGTTCTGGTGCATTTTTGACCCAGTTAAAGACTCATAAATAATATAGTTTCGCTAGGAAGAACGGGAGAAGGAATAGAGGGTTGTTAAAGGCATCTTTTTATTGTCACTTAAATGCCAGCAAGAAGAATAAATATCTAAGGATGGGCTCTTGAGCTGGTTCTGTATAAAAGTGAGCACAGTGAGAAGAAGCCAATAGTCAAATTTATAGAGCACAGGTTGGTTTTTCCTCCATGGAAAGATCGAAAGCCACTCCATTATAGCTATATTATAGTTATAAAAAAAGTCTCTTTTTACCCTGAAAAATGCCAGCCTCATGCGCATGGACAAGTGTATTTCCTCATTAATTTTCCTTCCCATTGTGGAATTTGGATGCCTCTTCTTGCCAACAATTAGTCCTCACCTTCTGCCCTAGCTGCAGAGGCAGCCTCTGAGCCATATCAGGCCCTTGCAGTCAGTCATGTGAAGGTTAAAAAGGCACAAGCACACTGTTTCTGTCCCAAATATTCTTCTAGTGCCAAGAAAATATTTTCTTCTAGTCCTCATGGGCAAGAGATTGGGGAGGACGGTGGAATTTAGGGGGTCTACAGGTCTTCTCAGTAAAGTAAACCTCAGAGGCTTGGGCCAAGCCGTGTGAATGGCTACGGGGTTTGCCAGAAAGGGTATGGCAGTAACAGCAGAAATTTTGGGTGGTGGTAATCGACAGGCAGTATTTTTCTCTTAAAAAAACAAGGACAAACAAAAATACATTCAGCTATTGTAAATTATTTTTTAATCACTTTGCCTGCCTTGCTTCAAAAACTAGTTATTGGATTTCAGTACAGAGGACTCAACCCCAACAGTCTTCTGTGCCAGCACACCAAATCCTAGTCTTGAGGTTGGATCCCCACTTCTGCTTGCTGCAGCCCACGGCCCAGAAGCCACCTAGTTTGGGGGCGGCCCACGCTTCCACCCCAGCTTTCTCTGGGTTCCCGCAGTTGAACGGGTCCAGTCCCCGATATTTGCCCAGCAGGTCTTGGTGCTGGTGGAAAGGTATGGGCCCCGGAAGCCCTAGCCCTTCCCTTGGCACCCTGGACCCCCTTGGCCCAGGCTGTCCCCTCCCCTAGCAGGTTCTCACAGAGAGCTGGCCTTCCTTCCCTGCAGCTGGTTTAGCTGAGAAGGCGGTGAGAGTCGCGTCAGCAGTTTGGAGGAGAAAGTGCGGGTTGATTATTGACCCACGCCTTCTTTCTTCGAATGCCACATCCAACCCACCGGTTTGAAGAAAAAATGCAACCGATCGGATTTTTGCAGATCTCGCTTCCTACGCTGTCCGGCTCCCCCTTTCAAGTCGTGCTGCTGAAATATGCCATAAGGAGCAAGTGTTTGCTGTTTTGTACTCTGTTTACAGCTTTGGGGCCCTGACTCATAAATCTTGCCCAGCCATAAATGACAAAAACCATTGGTATGCATGAGGCCACCCTGGCCCGGAGTGCTTTTTGATTTCTCCCTTTTCCCTTGGCTTTATTTTTGCTCAAAGGTGACACTTTGGCTCCCTGACAGTTTAAACATACTACTTATATTTTTAACACTTTCCTTTGAGAAGGACTGGCCATTGACACCCTGGAATTGCACGAAAGTTCCATTTCTCTTTTTGCCACCCGAAGACCCTTGCAGTTTGCTTCTGAATCTGGGGAGTTGAGGGAGGCATTAGGAGGGAGAAAGACCGTCCTCCTTAATAATACCAGGCACATATGGGCAGTTGCCTTGTTCTGCAGCCCTCTATACCAGTAACTGGTGTGGGGGGTCATATATGACAGTTCATGTTGCTGTCAGAGCTTTATCTCTTTCCCTGTGAATGAGCTGCATGTCTGTACTGTGAAATAGACACAGAGGAGCTGGCAGGTCTCTAGGCACCCTTGTGTGTACCTGAGCCCAGAGCGTCCCATTTCACTGCCCCCGACTAAGTGCATTCTTAGCCTGACTGCTTCCCTCCCGGCTGCAAGGATTTCTGCCTAAAAATATAACCAAAGGCCACCCAGTTGGCCTTGGGGAGGTCCCTCGACAAAGGAGGCCTGATCATAGCTCCCTTAATATTGGCTTAGAGGTACTTGGGCTGGGGTGGCAGGTGAGGTACTGCCCAAAGTCTTGGGGAACTTTCTTCTCCTGGTTCTCTTTTCTCTCGCACTTCCCACCCCCGCAACTGGAATGTCCAGGGCAGAGGGTTATGTGGTTTCTCAAACAGATTCCTAAGAAATAGACCCCAGCAAGAGAGCCCCTTTGTGAGAGTCGGTTGTCCTCATTAGCATAATTTTCCTGGACTTTAGTGACGCCTAGGAGCGAGGAGAGGGAGGTGATTGGGAGTTGGGGGGAGCCGCCCTCCACCCGCCGCCGCCGAGCTCCCCCTCTCGCTCCTGTCCCTCCCCTCGCCTCAGCCCCATCCCCCACGCCGGCCAGCGTTTCCCCAGCCGCCTCGGCCTCCCCTCCTGCCCGCCCCCAGCACCCCCCACCGCACCCCCGACCAGAAGCTGCTCCGCGTGTAATATTCATAAGAAACATACCTAAGTCGGTGCCACTAGCCCAGGCAGAGCCTGCGCCGCGCTAGCGCTTATCTCAGGGCTGCGGCTGCTGCCCTCGGGAAGGGCAGGGGGCGGGGGTGTGGGGGAGGGGTGGCAGGGTGGGGTGGGTGGGGGTGGGGGGTCCAAGCAGCCCCAGTCCGCCCTGGGCGAGCCGTTCAGGAGCAGCGAGGCGGCCGCGCTCTGCGCCGCGGGGTCCGGGCTTCGGGGTCTCCCTCCCGCCCGCCGTCTCGGCTGATGCTGAGGGTCGGTGCCCATCCCGCGCCTACGGGACCCGGCCGGGCCTCCGAGCCGGGCCGGGGCCGCAGCCCGAGCCCGAGCTTGCGCTCGCGGCACTCGTCAGAAGTTAAGGTAAGCAGGGCCGCAACCGGCCGCTCTCAGCGCTGAATGGCGGAGTTTACGTCTCGGTGATTTATGGCTGCAGACTTAAATCTCGGTTCAAGAAGAGTTCACAAGCCGGAGCTTCCTTCCCGGCAGTGACTGATACCCTTACACTTCGAGTTCAGGCCTCTTTCCCATCCCCGCCCCCACCTCTTCCCTCTCTCCTAGCCCAGCCCCAACTTTTCTGGTTTGGGTAGGTAGGAGTTGGCTAGGGGACGCGGGGGCTCTTACTCGATATTTCCGCCTAAATTCGGGCTGAGGGCAGGCTGAGGAAGGGGCGGAAATGGAAAGAGGGAGCGGTGTCTGAAGGAAGGAGGTTGAATTTGTGCAAATCTTCCAGAGAGACAATAGGGCTTGCTTCCTGCACTCAATTTAGCCTCCTCAACTCTCTTTCAGCTCTTAACACCTGGGAGTTATTGCCCAGAAACAGACCTTTTCGTAAGAATCTCCTCCCATCCCAGGCTCTTGCTTGGGGGTGCAAAGCAAAGTTTCCCGACTGGCAAGTCTCCAACTTCTTTACTAGGTTGCAAACATTGGCGACTGGATTGAGGGGAGGATTATGTGCGCCCCAAGGTGGTTGCTTGCTGACCTGAAACAATAGAAAGCACTTTGGTGGGGTCTCTGAGGTGAATTCATATTTTAAGTTAATGAACACTGTTGTATGCTCTTTGATTTTTTAAGTTATTTTTTGTTATTTACAAGACAATGCATAACTTGATGAAAACACTTAAGTAAGCAGCAGGCCGGTGGTGTAGCTTGTGATAATAGATTAACCAAGTCACTTTAAATGTTGCACATTCAAAATCAACTTAATTTTGTTTTCTCTAATATCTTGCTGTTTAAATATCTGGAGTAATTTTCTTAACCTGACATTTTACTTTACACAAGCCTAGTATCTTAAACATTTATAATTGCAGACATTAACACTGCCAAATGTAATAGGAACTGTTTTCAGTAAAAGAACAGGAAAAGGAGACATTAAATTGCTATTCAGTTAAAAATTTTATTTAATCCTCTATTTATTTTCAGTCGTTGTATCTGTAGCTTCCTATCTGTCTCCGAAAGAGAAGTAATACTCCAGGGCTCAAGATCATGCACAATAACTCCGGATAAGGGATGCTGTAATTTTTAATTGAGGTTCTGGAAAATTAATTGTGCCTGTTTTCCAGATGTTGGTCGGATTCCATTAAACACAAAATTATAATCATCCACTGGTAGATGCTTATTACATTTTTTAAAAATGTAGTTAAGGAAGTGTCTGCTATTCTTGGAAAACTCGAAAAACTCCAGGATTCAAATATATATAGTTGGGGTATGAAGTGTGAACCATTTTCTTCATGAATTTATCGTTGTAATTTTCTTAAATGGTCAGAGAGACTAATATTCTGAGTGTGTATTTTTGTGTGTGAGAGAATGTATTAACTCACATGGAACTTTTCTGAGCTGATAATCAGAGGTAGAGCATGACAAGGTTGAAAACAAAAACAAAACACATATTTCATTTCTGCAATATGCTTTCTAAATAGAAAAAGGGTTGAGAAGGCTTTCAGTTGATTTTTAGATTTTCAGATGTGCCCTTTACTTGGTGTTTCTGAACCAGGATAATAGGCTAAGTAACAAATATCAACAACAACAGCATACAAAGATCAGGGAACTCTGGCAGGATTTTATGGCTTGTGTTTCCATTCCTCGTCCGGAGCCAAATGACCCCCATACATCAAATTACATAGCAGTTTCTAAGACAGAACCTATTATCGTTAAGTTGGAAGGAGAGTTCAAACGGTGGTCATGGAGATGAACGCTGGTTTTTCAGGTTCCTCGTGGGTTGTTTTTTTTCCTCTAATCCATCATGTTTTAACAGGTAGAATTCGATAGTTGCCCTGAATAACAGCACCTCAGAAAGTCCAAGGCAGGAGGGTCTGGGGACCTTCTGTAACAGGGGAAGAGAGGTGGGAGTGGCTTGCTAGGACATGCCTGAGAAGTAAGGAGAGGAAAGGAGTAAAGAACTGTCCAGGATTTGAGTTTGACTTGCTGGTAGTGGCCTGATATGTTGGTCCCTCCTCACACATGATGTACCATCCAAAGTTTTCTCTTTTCCTTTCTTGGCCCCAGTGGTATCATTTGGAGGACGTGGAGCATATCCCTGCGCAAGGGTAGATGAACTGCCTCATCTAAGCTCAGCTTCTGAAATCCAGCAGGGTGGAGTAGGGCAACTGCCTCAAAACTTTTTTGTGCATACCTCTCTCTTGGGTGCTGAAAGGTCCAAGAAGGGACTGGATGGGAAGTCACCCTATGTCAGGGCTCTTTTCGCAAATATCAGTCCCAAAGCGAGGGTTGCGAGAAAAATTGGCGACTCAAACTCCCCTTTGCCTCCTCGCCGCTTTCCCAAGATCCCTGGAGGGAAGGAGTCGTGGGGCTCGCTGGATGAGGACAGGCAGCAGAGAGGAAGGGACATCCCAAGTTTCTTGTTGCCTGGAAAAGAAGGATCCCAGCCCTATTCCTTTCTAGCCCATCGAGCCGTTCTTTTGGACTCCAACTACGGAGACCCGGCTTCCAGCCTTCACTCACTCTCCTCCCCTCTGCCCGGAAAACCCTCCAACTCCAGACGCAAGTTAAGCAAATATTTGTAGCTGCCAGTAAATTCCAGCGGCTTTTTATAGCGCGGCTCTCTACGCCTGGGGCCAAGTCGTGCTGCTAAATATTGCTGACCACTTTTTCTTTTATGGCTTTCATGTCACTTAGCTATTGAGAGTAAGATGGATTTGCGCGGAGCCCTCACCGCGCTGCGATTCTCGCCCCACCCCAGGTCTGCGCGGGGCTGCTATTGGCGGCGGAGCGTCACGTGACCGCGGGGCGTGCCAATGTGCGCCCTCACGGGTGTCAAGCCCCTGTCAGAGTGTGCGATCCAGATCGTGAAACAACGCAATGCAAAAAGCGACCTACTACGACAGTTCGGCGATCTACAGTGGCTACCCCTACCAGGCAGCCAACGGGTTCGCTTATAATGCCAGTCAGCAGCCGTACCCGGCGACCACATCATTGGGCACCGATGGCTACCACAGGCCCGCCTGTTCACTCCAGTCGCCGGCCAGCTCCCGGGGCCACCCTAAGGCTCACGAGCTGAGCGAGACATGTCTGCGCACCCTGAGCGGCCCGCCCAGCCAGCCCCCAGGCCTGGGCGAGTCGCCCTTGGCCCCGCCGCTGCCCCAGGCCGCGCCCCCTGCCCCACAGCAGCCCCAGCCCCCGCCGCAAGCCCAGGCGCCCACTCCTGCCGCGCCCCCGCCCCCCTCTTCAGTCTCCCCACCTCAGAATACCGGCAGCAACCCCACCCCCGCCAGCACGGCCAAGAGCCCCCTACTCAACTCGCCCACCGTGGCCAAACAAATCTTTCCCTGGATGAAAGAGTCTCGACAAAACACAAAGCAGAAAACCAACGGCTCCAGCTCAGGTAAAGGGGTGCCTTCTGGAGGAGGGTCTTCCCTCCTGCCCCCAAAAGCCACTTCCAGCCCCAGCCAGCACCGTCTGGGAGTGCTGGTGGAACATTCCCAAGAATTCACTGCTTCTCGTTTCTCCACCCCACAAATGTTTCTGGTGTCTTTGCAGTCAGGGGGGTAATGGGACTCTGGATGCCCACCCCAGGAAACCCAAGAGAGAGACCTGATGGGAGTCTCTCTGGACCTGTCCAAGAGCAAATGGGGCCAACTAGTTTGGAATCCCCTCTGTTCCACTCTTGGAGTTAGAACCTTTGGGCAGAACGAGCTTAGCTCTACTGTCTCTCTTTAGCATAGCTCATAGTGTCTAATGAAACAGTGACATCCACCCCACACTAAAAAGGAGCATAACAAAAGTAGGCCTAACTGTCCTCCAAGTCAGAATCAATGCTTTGCCTATAGCCAGAGCCTACTTTAAATTTTTGCTCCAGTAGATGGAGCGGCTGCCTTATCTCTGAGGAACCCCTACTCATACTTCGTACAATGAAGGCAGCTAGGGACCTCCTGAGGGAGGGAATTCAGATTTGTCATCCTAGTAAGAACCACAGGGGCCTGCTGGAACTGGACTCCACTGGAGGATAGACCCTGAGTCTTGGGCGTCCCAGCATCTTGGTTACCTTTGCCTCTGCCCTTTCTAGTTACCAAATGCTCTATTCAGAGCCTGAGCATCTGGGACCCTCTAGAGCCAGAATTTAGGGGGCCATAAGATTAGCTGCTAAACCGGGGACAGGCTGCTAGATGACATGGAGAACCCTAATTAATAGGATCATCATCAGGGACTAGCTTCCCCACCAGAAATAGATATCTTCAATGGGATCTCTTCCTTTGGACAGAGAAGGCCTTCCAGATTGGAGCTTCCACTACAACCAAATCCACTGAGTAGATTAAATAAGTGGCCAGTTGAGGCAACTGTCTAATCCTTCAGTCAAATAGTGAGTGAGGGAAGATTTTATTGAGTGTATATTAGGTGCCCCACACTAAATTTATTAAAGGGATTGAAGATGGTGAGGCCTGCCCGCAGGGAACTTGTAGTCGGGTAGGCTTGAAGGATCAGTAAATGAGTCAGAACGTGAATAGCTCCAGTAAGGAAATATAAACCAGAAAGGCAAACTGGGAGTTCTGCTCTTCTGTCCTTTCTCCCTTTGGAGAAGCCTGTGATTTGCAACTTGACTGAATGAAGGGCTAGGTACTCAGCTACCAGCACTGTTCCCCAAGAGAGAAGATAGCACCTAGTTCTTCCTCCCCCTTTCTGGATCCTGACAGATGGAGTAGTCTTTGGGGCCTAGAGCAAGGAGGGGCCTGGCTGGGTCAGGGGCTGACTGGGCGCGGCCGAGGGCAGCCCCTGACGCCACTCTTCGTCTCTGTCCTAGCAGGGGAGAGCTGCGCTGGTGACAAGAGCCCGCCTGGCCAGGCAGCGTCCAAGCGGGCGCGCACAGCCTACACGAGTGCGCAGTTGGTGGAGCTGGAGAAGGAATTCCACTTCAACCGCTACCTGTGCCGACCCCGCCGAGTGGAGATGGCCAACTTGCTGAACCTCACCGAACGCCAGATCAAGATCTGGTTCCAGAATCGCCGTATGAAGTACAAAAAGGATCAGAAGGGCAAGGGCATGCTGACGTCATCAGGGGGTCAGTCCCCAAGTCGCAGCCCCGTACCCCCTGGCGCGGGCGGCTATCTGAACTCTATGCACTCGCTGGTCAACAGCGTTTCATACGAGCCCCAGTCGCCCCCGCCTTTCTCCAAGCCCCCCCAGGGCGCCTATGGGCTGCCCCCTGCCTCTTACCCCGCACCCCTGCCGAGCTGCGCGCCTCCTCCACCCCCTCAGAAGCGCTACGCTGCGGCGGGGACTGGCGCGGGGGGCACACCCGACTATGACCCGCACGCTCATGGCCTGCAGGGCAACGGCAGCTATGGGACCCCACACTTACAGGGAAGCCCCGTCTTCGTGGGGGGCAGCTATGTGGAGCCCATGAGCAACTCTGGGCCGGCCCTCTTTGGCCTCACTCACCTTCCCCACGCCGCCTCCGCAGCCATTGACTATGGGGGTGCTGGGCCGCTGGGCAGCGGCCACCATCATGGGCCTGGGCCAGGGGAGCCGCACCCCACCTACACGGACCTTACCGCCCACCATCCTTCTCAGGGAAGAATTCAGGAAGCCCCCAAGCTCACCCACCTGTGATGGTGGACTCAGGGCTGCGCGCCAGGAGAGTCCCCCACCCTCATACGTTTGCTTTTTTTTTTTGTTTTGTTTTGTTTTGTTTAAAATTCTTCCTGTCCCTCCCTTTTATCTCTCCTCTGCCCCCCTCTTCCCTCCCACTCCCGTTTGTTTTCTTTGGTAACACGTTTTTATAGTTTTTGTGACGTAGCAATCTTGGTTGCTGGAATGGCTGTCAGTTATCAGTAGCGGTATTTATCTTATCCCGCCCTCGCTAGGCCGCAGGCCCTGCACCCTTTACCGTCTCTACTCTTTGATCAGAAACAGGGTATATGAACAAATTTTCCAGCCGAGGTCTTCAATGTGAATTTGTTCGTACATTATGGCTTCCGAGGGGAAGCGATTTCTTTTTTTCTTAATTTTTAGTTTTTTTTAAATTGCACTTATTAAAAAGCGAGAAAAAGTCAAAGGCGCTTTGAAACAGGGGTTCCCTGTGCAAGGATAAGTGTACGTCTTTCCGTATGTGTATGCTGGTGAACAGTCAGATTTATTTATATTTTTTTGCAAGCTATGAATAATCTAAGTTTTAAATATTATTTATCCCCATCCGTTCGTATTTATATTAAAGAAATTCTGTACCCTGATTGTTCAGAAGGTTTCTTGGGCCTTTTGTTCAATAATGTATTGGCGTACATAGAAACATTTTTTTTATTTGAAAGGGAAATATAATTCCTTTATAAAAAACGGTAATGATGCAATAATACCAGAGAGGATCCAGCTTTCGAAAACAGTGATTTAGGTTTGTAACATCCGGCGAAACTGAAAAAAAACAAGCACTAGCATTAGAAAAATGCTAGATTTGTTCTGAGAGTTCTACATTCCTTGCTGCTCACATTCTGAGAAACAAAACAAAAATAAAGTTTTTATTCTGAATAATAACCGTGTTCAGAAGGGGTTCTTTGGCTGAAGATGGGGATCTGAGTGGAATTCAGGCAGAGGCAACTGTCGGGGCAGGCCACCAAGGCAGCCTAACAGCTCCGGAGTGGGGCCCGGCTAGGCGGCTACCCTGGGAATACTGCGAATTCTCGGGACGGCAGCCGGAGCTCCTGGCGGCGTCAGGCTGGAAACGCCAGGCAGCCAGCCCGCTGGGTTGCTGATTCCCAGCTGCCAGGGAAGCCAGCGCGGGAGCAGGGGTGCGGAGTGCTGAGTGTGGAAGAAAGAAAGGCAGCCGGTCGTAGGCTCGGCGGGGAGCGCACAGGTGCTCGGGCGGTCCCACCACCGGCATAAGGCAGGGCTGTCTTGTCCACGATCTTCCTCCGGTCCAAGCGGAGTAACTAATGCCCTAACCCGTGAAATCACCGGCAGCGCGGAGGATGCCGAGGACTTCTAGGAGCAACCCGATTGTCCGCGGATGTTTCGAGGTCCCTTATCGCGCCAGGAGGCTTGATTCATTTCTAAAATCGCCCCTGGGAGCAAGGCGGCTCGAACGAGACTGAAGCTCACCCAGGTATCCAGCAAAAGAAGGGCTGAACTCCGAGAGCCTTCCTGAGCCCTTCCCTGGACTGCTTGAGTCCCAGCATCGGCTTCCGCCCGGAATTTAAGATTTGGCATTCTCTTGATTTATTTCCTCTCCTTCCTCCCTCCTGGCTTTCTTTTTATGGGCCCAGGGGGAAGGGAAGAGAGAAAGGAGATTGGTATCTTTCTAATAAAAATGCAATTTCATAAGTACTTCTTTCTTCTGATGCTACAAGAGCTAAACACTACATTTTTACTCCTGGATTGAAGATAGGGCTGCCTACTGACTGGCTGGCAGAGGCAAAGGGAGGCACAGGAAAGGGAAATATTTTCATCTGCAGATTGAAGAATTGCTTCAAGAAGGAACCAAATTCAGAAAGTGGAAACTCAGAACTGCACCCCAGCAGCATCCCTCCCCCCTCAAAGCTGGAAGCGAGGAATCGCCTGCGTCTGAGGATCAGGGGCGTCTGATGCGAGAAATAACCCCCCTTCTCCCTGGACTGTGTCTTTCAGAGACTGAGGTGAAAAATGTCGCCATTTTGTTTGCAATCTAAAATATCCATTATCATGGCCTCAGTCTTCCCCAGGAGAAGCTCCCTCAGATGATCTTTGGGAAGAGGCACTGGGGGCATTTCTGGGTACCTGCTGGTTCTGCAGGAGCTGTTTTTAGGTAACCTCACATTTTAAGAAAAAGAAAAACGCCAGGCAGCTGTAGAGATCTGGATGTTTCTCTCAGCGAGAGTGCTTCCCCATATCGGTCCTGGAGCTTCTGATATATATATCCCATATACGTGTGTGTGTATTCTTTTTAAAGAGTTTAGGCTGTGGAAAAGTAGATTTGCTCCCCACTCCATTCCCAGCCTCCCTGCTGAAATATGGCGCTCCTCAGAAATGAGAGGCTGGAAAACCAGTCTTTGTAAGGACTAGAGATTCCGCCCTTTTGGTTGTTCAGATCGGAACTGAGAAGGCTGAGAAGACACAGGAGTCTTAAGTAATACTTTTAGAGATGCGTACAAAATAACCTGGGAAAATAAGGAACAGTGGAGAGAGAGAGAAAGGGAGAGGGAAAGAAAGCTATCCACCCATAAAGACAAATCTTTCAGGGACACCACTGTTTGAACCTGTTTCTAAAATCTACTCTTTAGCTGAGGAGGGAATGGTTTGGAGGCCTCCTCCTTCCCTCAGGGGACAGATTTTAAAATGAGATTCCAATATGATTTCCCATATCTTGTCAATCAAGACATTCATTTGGGCTTTTGAAGAAAAAAATCTTGATCTCACCCCCAGCTTCATAGATACTGAAAAAAAAATCCTTATTAAAATATCACCTGAGTTAAAGTTATAGGTTTATGGGAGATTTCATGAGTGGTCAGAGAAAAGGGTTTTCTTCCAGATGGTATTTGAATTAAGGCTGCTGAGGCGAACAGAAAGCTCTCACCCACGCAGCCACTGACAAAGCCTCAAAGATATAGGGGCAGCGCTGCTGCCTCTCCATAGCTCCCCTTCCCCTTAACTCAGTATTTTCTTGTAAAAACAAATGCCAAAAGCCCCCTTCCCAGAGTTCACAAAGCACCTTTCCTTAAAACAGCCTTATAATCCTGCTGCCAAAAAATATATTTTAAAAGACTAGATTTCCTTGTTTACTTGTGTTTCCTGCTCTCCTCTTTGCTCAGCCACATTTGATCTTGGAAAGAGCTCGAAGCTGAAATGTGTTCTTAAGGGCCAGAAGCTGTCAAGGCTTTTGGTGAGCAAGATTGATCGTGCCCAGACTTCCTTCAGAGCTTTGTTTGGAATAAAAGCAAGAAAACTGAAAAATCTCACATTTTCCAAAATAGCACCTCTATCTGTAAGGTAATGCTGTGGGCTAGTCAAGGACAGAGGCAACTTTATATCTAATTTCCAACCCAAGCCCCCTTAGATGCTTGCCTCAGAGATGGAGTCCTAGTCTTGCGCCGTGTTCGGCCTTTCTTGTTTTCTGCTTAGATTTTTCTCCCCCACCAACCTCTCTCCCTGGCCATCAGAATGATTTATTTTTCTGCCACAGATGCCTGCCGGCCTGGGGGAGTCTGATCACTTGGTCCATTTCAAAGAATGCAAAAGAGAATAATGATTCTTAGGGTTTGGGGGAAAAGAGATACCTTCAGATTTCTCTTTCAGCCTCCTCCCCTCTTTCTCAGTTGGTGGATTTTTTTTTTAAAGTTATTGTTTGGTACCTAAAGGTGTTATCTTTTGAGCTCTCCAACACAGTCCAAGATGTGCTCAGTCTCAAGCCTCCAATTTGGAAAAAAAAGTGAACAGAGAAACAGAACCTTTATAATCCCTCCTTGAGTCTCTCTCTCCCATCCGCGGTGCTGTTTCCCACAACAGAACCCAAGTGCAAACATCCTTGGTGGCCAAAGAGCAGGAAGGTGTGGGAGACAATTCGGGCTGCCGGGGAGCCCTCACTGCATCTGAACCAACAAGCCCCCGTCAGATCGACAAGGCCAAGGAGAAGAAGGGAAGGAAAAGAAAAAAGAAAGAAAGGAACAAGTTCCTTCTCCCTCCCAGCTGGCAACTTCCAACCGACTTCCTGGAAATCAGATATACTCACCGCACCCCAGCCCTACGGGTATGAAACCCAGAGTGCCAGGAGCCCCCGCGCCTGCTCGAGGCCGCATTTCTTTGGCTGGTCGCCGCCCTGGCTATACAGGGATTAGAACACATGGACCAGGGGTTGTTGTCTCGTTTGGCACATGCATCTATCTTTCTCGAGCCACTCCTGAAAAGTTGATGGTGCAGGAAGGTCGGGAAGCTTCGAGAGCCGCCTCCTATTTTCCGCTTCCCTCTGGAGCCAGATGCATAGCAGCAGCCTTGGAAAAGATGGCTAACAATGGGACCGGGTCCGGGTCCAGGGGCGCGGATTCTGAGCTGGGCTTTGGGAGGGGAAAGAGGACGTGGGGGAGGGGGTGAGGAAGGAGAGGTGGACGGAGGAGAGAGAGGGAGGAGGAGAAGGGAGAAGAGGGGAAAAAAGGAGGAAAAAAGGGAAAAACAGACAGGAAGGAGAACAGAGAGAGAGTTCTGAGATATAGGAGCTGGTTTTAGAAAAGGAGGAGGGAAGGGAAATAAAAGGGGGAAACCCCCCAAGAGTCCTTCTTCTCTTTTCTGTTCTTTCTCTCCTTCCCTCCCTCTTTCTTCTCCCAGTCTCATATCCCTTCTCCCTCTGCTCCTTCCTCCTGCCTTAGCTGAAGTTATGTGGCTGGGATGCGGGCCCTTGGGTGTCAAAACTTTGAAGATTAATGGATTACTTTGTTAATGACTGCAGGCGTCAGACTGAGGTGCTTAAATGATTTGTGAGGTGCGAGGCGTCTTCCCGACAGTCCCAAACAATGCTCGGAGTGTGCGGGGGAGGCAGAGGGCAGCCTCCAGCTGGACCGGCAAGCACGGCTCACACTCGCGCGCGCACACACACACTCACACACATTCCCAGGCGTACACACCAGATCCTTGCTCATCAGGAGGCAGCCAGGCACCCTCGCCCCCACACACTCCCATGCATTACCACCCACACCCACATAAATATATTTTTGCCTTGAAAAAAGTGTAAATAAAGCCTCGCTGGCCCCCAATGAGGCGTTCCTTCCCGACTTTTTTGGATCAATCAAACAGACAGTGGCTTCTTTTGATTAAAGCCCAAATTGTCATTGGGCAGAAGCAATCATGTGACAGCCAATTCGGTCCAATTTCAACCTTGTCTCCATGAATTCAATAGTTTAATAGTAGCGCGGTCCCCATACGGCTGTAATCAGTGAATTAGAAAAAAAAACACCCCAGCAGCGATCTTCTATGATAGATTTTTTTCCCTCCTCTCTCGCCTTTTTCCTGGGCCTTGCCCCCCCAAAACCCCTCCAGAAGAGGGAACTTTTTCTTCGAGGGGGCTCCAAGGAGAAGGCCATGAATTACGAATTTGAGCGAGAGATTGGTTTTATCAATAGCCAGCCGTCGCTCGCTGAGTGCCTGACATCTTTTCCCCCTGTCGCTGATACATTTCAAAGTTCATCAATCAAGACCTCGACGCTTTCACACTCGACACTGATTCCTCCTCCTTTTGAGCAGACCATTCCCAGCCTGAACCCGGGCAGTCACCCTCGCCACGGCGCTAGCGGCCGCCCCAAGCCGAGCCCCGCGGGCAGCCGCGGCAGCCCAGTGCCCTCCGGCGCCCTGCAGCCTCCCGAGTATCCCTGGATGAAGGAGAAGAAGGCGGCCAAGAAAACCGCTCTGCCGCCCGCCTCAGCCGCCGCCGCCGCTGCCGCCACTGGCCCTGCCTGCCTCAGCCACAAAGGTCAGTCCAAAGACTTGGCCCCAGGTCCCGAGACCGTTCCCCTTCTGGGCTGCTCAGAGAGCGGCTAAGGGGGAGGGGAGCGTGGGATGGAGAGAAGGGGGAGAGGGAGAGATGCTTGGCTGCCTTCCCTTCCCCTGTGGGCTCAGGAGTGGGTTTGATGGAGAGAAAAGGGATCCTGCGCTCCACAATAAGACATATATATATTTTTAAGGAAGGGGGAGGGCGGTTTGGGAACTTTCCCTAACTTGTGTAATGTGGGATGATTTATTTGAGTTGGAACTGACCTCCTCTTGTCTAGTTGTCCTAGAGTTTGGCTTTTTGACAGTAATGAAGAGTGATAGATCGCTCTTGCTCAGCTAAGCAGCTGATGCATTAATTATAAATTGTGGTGTGGCTAATATAAAGTTTGCTCCCGGATGGAGAGTTTGGGGAGAGCTGCAGGCAGGAATCTGAAGGAGGTCGAAGAGATGGGATCTCCCAGGGCTGGGCTCCCAGGAAAGACAGTACAATAGCTCTACTGCATCCAGGGGCGGCCATTTTGTTGCAGTTGATCTTTTCTGCTATATTTATTCTCCAGTGGAATAACCACGCTGGGACCCCTTCACCTCCAACTGTGCCTGTGTCTCTTGTTGGTTTCCCTTTTCGCAGAATCCCTGGAAATCGCGGATGGCAGCGGTGGGGGTTCCCGGCGCCTGAGAACTGCTTACACCAATACACAGCTTTTAGAGCTGGAGAAAGAATTTCACTTCAACAAGTACCTTTGCAGACCCCGAAGGGTAGAAATTGCAGCACTGCTGGATTTGACTGAGAGACAAGTGAAAGTGTGGTTTCAGAACCGGAGGATGAAGCACAAGAGGCAGACCCAGTGCAAGGAGAACCAAAATAGCGAAGGGAAATTTAAAAGCCTCGAAGACTCTGAGAAAGTGGAGGAGGACGAGGAAGAGAAGTCGCTCTTTGAGCAAGCCCTCAGTGTCTCCGGGGCCCTTCTGGAGAGGGAAGGTTACACTTTTCAGCAAAATGCACTCTCTCAGCAGCAGGCTCCCAGTGGACACAATGGCGACTCCCAAAGTTTCCCAGTTTCGCCTTTAACCAGCAATGAGAAAAATCTGAAACATTTTCAGCACCAGTCACCTACTGTTCCTAACTGCTTGTCAACAATGGGCCAGAACTGTGGCTCTGGCCTAAACAATGACAGTCCCGAGGCCCTCGAGGTCCCCTCTTTGCAGGATTTCAATGTTTTTTCCACAGATTCCTGCCTGCAGCTTTCAGATGCAGTCTCACCCAGTTTGCCAGGTTCCCTGGACAGTCCCGTAGATATTTCAGCTGACAGCTTTGACTTTTTTACAGACACACTCACCACAATTGACTTGCAGCATCTGAATTACTAAAATCATTAAAGCAAAACAAAGCATCACAAAACAAAATCCCCTTTGACCAGGTGGTTTTGCCTTCTTTTATTCTGAGAGTTGATTTTTATTTTACTTCTTCTCAACCTACTCTCTTCCTCTTCTAAATGCTGAGGATTTTCTGTTTAGTGATTCCCCAGACCCAGTTTCAGAGCCATCTTTAACAAATTGTTTTGGAGTTTTAGTTATTTTAAATCGAATCCAACAACCCTCTATGAGATTTCCTGAAAGCAGTATTTGAGGTTTGCAAGAAAGTGATCATATAAATTGCATCTTCACTTTCTTTTTATTTTTGTATTACATTAGGATGCATTGTCATTGGTATTTTTGGTAGAATAAATTTTCCTTTGCTATAAGTAGCTTTCTTATTTTTTCTCCCCCTCTTTCTGAAGTCTCAGTTTCTTTTTCTTCTTTTAGTCTAACTTGGAAAATAAAAATCTGGTCACAATTCATCTTCATTTTCAATTTTAAAATATTTATTAAGGGGGCATGTTCAAAGTCTTCAATAGACAGCAACAAAAAAGAAAGCCAGAAAATGGTTACGGCTTCTGAGAAATGATTTTTTTTTTAAGGTAATGAATTTGGTTTTTCAGTGTAGAGGTTCAAGCCATAGATTTAAATTGGTAGTAGAAACAGGACTGGGCAGCCTCAGAGATGAGACAAGCCCAAACTTTTCTAAAGTGGAGGAATAAAGTGCCTACAGAAACCCTCAACTCAAGGAAGGAGGAACGTGGAGTTTCTTTAACAAGCTACCAGTCTCCAGGTCAATAACTAAGTTATCAACAATTCATTTATTTATACACATTTGTTTCAAACATCTACATTCCACCCCCCACAAATCCCCAACAATTTCAGTGTGGTTGATTAGTCTCCAGCTGTTGATGGGTTCAGGCAAACAGACCTAAAAGAGACAAATAAAAATAAAATAAAACAATGGTTACTAGTTGGAAAATGCACTTCAGAAAGCGTTCTTTCCAATCTTTTGCTTCAGTCATTCTAGGATTCCTTTTTTCAGGGTCAAAAAAATCAGAATTTCATTCTTAAATCTGTGTACATGGCAAATAATGGATCATTAAAGAGCTTTGAAGTCAGGTTAGCAACAACTTGAGATTTAAAATGGAGTGTTTCTGCACAGTAGGTTATAAATTCACCCAGTTTCTAGAGAGAGAAAGAGGAAAAGCACTTTAAATGAAATATCAATAAAATGTGATCTAGGGGATGTTACTGGGTTGTTCTGTCCCCCCCTTCTTATGTCTCCCCATGTTTATTTTTTCCTCACTGAGCTCTGTTCTGATAGCTACTTACTGTGAGAAAACGCAGCGTGTAAGCAACATGTGTGGGGGCGGGATGATTTAAGACCTGGCTTTGGTAGCAAGGGCTTGGAAATTATAATGAAATCACGATCTTTCTCCTTGGATTTGCTTCCTACCTCCCACCACCCCTTGGCCCCCTAAATTCTTGCAGTGGCAGAGGTGTGTGAGGACCCTGGGGTGGATAGCCTGCCCAAGGCGCGGAGCAGAGCCGGGCAGCCAGCCGGCGGCGGCCAGGACTGAGCCGCTGCTGTTTGCGATTTGTCCTATGCTCATAAATCAAATGCTTTCTATGAATGAGAATGTCATCAAAGAGATCAATTGCAGGAACACATGCACAAATAAAAATCCTCTTACGTATTTGCCGGGGATCCCCGTCCTAAAGCATTAAGTTAGAAGGCGTTTAGTCATAATTCATTTTTATTGCTCTTTTAAAACAAAAGCTTGGCTGAGCCGCGGATGCCATAAACAGCTCAGGGCCTCCGCAGCGTTTTGTCTCCTCCTTGCTCCTTCCCTTTCTAGTGATAGAGCCCTGAAAGAGGCGCTTTGAGCCCAGCAAGCCGCTTGCAGGCAATCATTTTATTGGAGTGGCCAAGCTCGCCTTTCACCCGTTCTCTATGGGTGTTTGAAGAGACTTTAGCTCGAGTCGTAGGGCTCTGCCCTACTTGCCAGAGGACCGAGGGTCTCCTGCACCGCGGAATGAGCCCCAGGATTTCGTGGGGGTTGGGAGGAACCGAGCTACGGAAGCCTGCGGGCTCGAGGCCAGAGGAGCCTGCCTTTGTGAGCAGCACCGGGAGAGCGGCGCTCTGGACGGCCAGTCCGGGCGGAGCCGGCTTCCACGGCACAGTCCGGCCTGCCGGGAACTGGGAGCAGTGCGCGGAGGCGGGTGGGTCGCCGCCCGTGTGTCTACGGGTCTGTGTGCCAGTGCAAGCTTGTGATTTCAAGAAAAATCCCACCCATGCTGGCCCTGAAAAGAGGCCCGGAGAGAGGAACAGAGGTGGAGGTTGAAGAGCGCACTGGCCGCAAACTAGCAGGGGAGGACAGCGGTTGAGGCCTGGGGCGGCTTTGTGGCTGGAGCCTGGGGCCGAGAGAGTAGTGAGAACCCGGGCGGAGGCCAACAAAGGGATAAGAAGGAGGCAAGGGGGAGAGCGTACCGACGAGCTTCAGCTCCCAGAGCAGATAGTCCACAAAGACAGCATGGATTCCCTCACGTCCTGTCTCCTTCCCGACAGGAGCCCCTTCTCTCTACATCGCTGGAGGCCTGGCGCTCCCAAGAAGCTGCCTCCAGGAGGGCCACCTTGCCTTTCCAACATTCTACAGAATAAGGTTCCCCAGGCACTGAAACTGGGGCAGGAACGCACCTTCCTGATCGTGCTCCCCCTTAACCGTGCGGATATTGGTCAAAGGTCACAGAAAAATACCATTTCAAAAGGAAATGTTTAGGAAAAATATTTCTTTGCTACTGAGGAAATCCGCAGTCAGATGTCTGCAGAGTTGTCCCGCTTGGGGGGAAATTCTGTATGTGGAGAACAGAATGCAGAAACCTGAAAGGTTGACTAACACTTTGAAATGTGCCCATCTCAAGCAAAACTTCCTTCTTTTAACTGGGGATAGAAATCTAGAGTGAAGTGGGAACCCCAAACCAACATACAACCCTCCAGTAAATGTCATCTGTCCTATTCCAATGTGGTGGCAAACATGGTCAGAGTAAAATCTGTACAATATTGGCAGCAAAGCTTCTTGGATGATCTCTGGATTTCTTTTACCTAGGAATGCATCAACAATTCCCGGCCTCTTTTTGGCCTTTTCTCTCTACACACCGAGAGTTGACAGGCCTAATAGTAAACAGCAATTAACGACCCAGTCAGCATCAGGGTAGGATGAGGGTAATGGAGAACAGGACCCCTGCTCTGGGATGACGTTCAGATCTGTACGTGTCTCTCTAGGGAAAGACTTGAAGGTTCACACAAGGAACCACACATTCAGTTACAAAGGGGAGGAGGTGTTGGGGAAGAAGAAAATGTCCCGCCCACCATCAGCCATCTGTCCACCGCCCCTCCCACCTGCCAGCCCTCACCCACTACTTCAGACGTGCGGTAGAAGGTGGGGAGGAGGGTTGTGGGTGGATAAAGGAAGCTCTACCACTCCTTAACACCTCCCTCCAGAAAACTAGAAACTTTGCGGGGGGAGTTCAGCCTACTTTGTTGGAACTGTGATCTCGCCCGTTGAGGCCCTTGCTGGAGCGCGCAGGCTCCTGGGTCCTGGGGAGTCGGCAGATGGCCGGCCCCCACGCTGGTCACGTCCGCTAGCGTCATCTTTCTCCCCCTCCTCCTACCCCTCAAAATCCAGCCGCCGAATTGCTCCGGATCCCGTTGGGCTCCCTGAGCAAAGTTGAGTGGGGAGGAGAAAGGGGCGGAGAAAGAGGTGAGAGGGAGGGCGAAGAGCTTGGCCACCCTCGGCCTTTTCCAGCAAGCTTAGCTACCAAGGCTCACCCGTTCCCAGGAGTCGAATTACATTTGCTTCTCATTGCCAGGCTAGAAACCAGTTTGTGTGTGTGTGTGTGTGGTGGTGGTGGTGGTGGGGGGGGGGGGGGGTTGAGGGTACTTCGGGACCCTCCGTGGAGAAGGAAGTTTCTTTTCTTGCCCTCAACTCATCTTCGCGTACCCTGGTTCTTCCTAGCCCGCGCTCTGCAAATTTCTCTCTCTGTTCGGAGCTTGAATAGCTGGCGGCTCAGCCTAGATGAACGCCACCATTCCACCGCACCATAGGAGGGGCCGGGCAGTGAAAGCGCCGGAGAAGCTACCCTTCCTGCTCGGCGCACTCCGGGCTCTGGCCGAGTGCTAGTGGCGGCCCAGCGAGCTCGGGCCTACTAATTCCCGACCGCCTACTGATTCCCGACCCCAGAGAGCGCGGAGCTCTCTTCCCTTCTCACCTCTTGCCAGTTCGTCTTTCTGGGCGCGGTGGGCAGGGGGCGGAGACCCAGGATGTCTCCCAGCCCCCACCCCCGGAGGGGGGCAGTCGGCGCGTGCAGAAGGCAGCCTCTGCTCTCCTTCGCCCTAGAGCTCCAAATCTTCTCCTGCAGCAGCCGCAGCTGCTGCTGCCGCCTGGGCTGCCTGGGGGGGCGACTGTGCGTCACCTAGACTGAGGAGCGCCGGGGATTTAAATGCCACTGAAACGGTGATCCATCACCGCGGGAGCCAGCAAACTTTCGCAGGAGGTTCCACCATTGGCCGACATAGTCACGTGCCCCTCCCTTAGCGCCCTCCGCCCTCGCGCCCCCCCTCTTGCGCACTGTACATTCATGTCATTTTTCTTCTCCGGCCCTATGGAGGAAGTGAGAAAGTTGGCACGGTCACCCAGGGCTTCGCAGAACCCGGTCACTCAGTGACAGATGGACAATGCAAGAATGAGCTCCTTCCTGGAATACCCCATCCTCAGCAGTGGCGACTCGGAGACCTGCTCAGCGCGAGCCTACCCCTCCGACTATGGAATTACAACTTTCCAGTCCTGTGCGGTCAGTGCCAACAGCTGTGGCGGTGACGACCGCTTCCTAGTGGGCAGGGGTGTGCAGATCAGCCCTCCCCACCACCACCACCACCACCACCACCACCACCACCACCACCACTCCCAGCCGGCCACCTACCAGACTCCGGGAAACCTGGGGGTGTCCTACTCCCACTCGAGTTGCGGTCCAAGCTACAACGCGCAGAACTTCGGCGCGCCTTACAGCCCCTACACGTTAAATCAGGAAGCAGAAGTAAGTGGCGGGTACCCCTCATGCGCTCCCGCTGTTTACTCTGGAAATCTCTCATCTCCCATGGTTCAGCATCACCACCACCACCAGGGTTATGCCGGGGGCGCGGTGGGCTCGCCTCAGTACATTCACCATTCATATGGACAAGAGCACCAGAGCCTGGCCCTGGCCACGTATAATAACTCCTTGTCCCCTCTCCACGCCAGCCACCAAGAAGCCTGTCGCTCTCCTACACCAGAGACGTCTTCTCCAGCGCAGACCTTTGACTGGATGAAAGTCAAAAGAAACCCTCCCAAAACAGGTCAGTCTTGCCATTCCGTGGATGCTCCTTGATTCTGAAAGGAGCTGGTATGCTTAGTTTCCAAGGAAAAGTATTAGTTTCTTTTAAAAGTTCTTGCTTTCCCCCAAGTGTTGTAGGGCATGGGGAGATTGCACAGGTGTGTTGGGGCAAAGGAACATTTGGGACGGTTGTGTTTCCAAAGGTTCTGAAAGTAGGAAGTGTGTAGATGTGCGTGTAGGGGGAGGGGGTGTCTGCTAATATCTTCCATCTCTATTAATCACTGGTCTGACCATGCTAATGGTTGACTTCAGATTAATACTTTACACCTTATCACTCACCCTCCCAGCCCGGTTTGTGCTGGGAAATTGTTCATCTTCTCTTTACCGAAATGTTGCTCCAAAGTGTGTAGGGAATCTCACATCGATTGTAAAATTTTTACCTTATTCTCTCATCGCTTCCCATCCTGCCCCCAGGGAAAGTAGGAGAGTATGGCTACGTGGGTCAACCCAATGCGGTGCGCACCAACTTCACCACGAAGCAGCTCACAGAGCTGGAGAAGGAGTTTCACTTCAACAAGTACCTTACGCGCGCCCGCAGGGTGGAGATTGCCGCATCCCTGCAGCTCAATGAGACCCAGGTTAAGATTTGGTTCCAGAACCGCCGAATGAAGCAGAAGAAACGAGAGAAGGAGGGCCTATTGCCCATCTCTCCCACTACCCCTCCGGGAAGTGAGGAGAAGGTGGAGGAATCCTCAGAGAAGTCCAGCTCCTCACCCTGCGTTCCTTCCCCAGGGTCTTCTACCTCAGACACTGTGACTACCTCACACTGAGACCACCTCAGGCCCCAGACCCCGGAGCTCAGGCTACTCCTCCGACTGGGACTTGTTTTCCAAAGCACATTCTTAGCTTATCTTCTTTTCCATTTACAGCGTCTCTCGTCCTTTTTGATCCTATCTGGGGAGCTCCTGGCCGGGATAATGTGTTTCCAGAGAATTTTGGACTAGAGGCTTGCTGGGTGGTGGTGGTGGTGGAGGGAGTGTTGCCTTCCTACTGCTGATTGGGTACCAGCATCAATTTTCTGATGCCCCTAACCCCCTTCCCACTTTAGGAGATTTCCACAGAACCTGCTGTTCCTTGCAGATGCCCTTTGGAAAACAGTCTCCTTTGTCAGCAGAAACATGTCAGAAGGAGGCCTCTCATCTTTCATCTATCTATATTTACAGTTCTCTCCTACTTTGAAGTAGGATTGAGAGAGAGAGGAGTCCAGAAGCTCATGAAGAAGAGATGCACTATGAGCGTGTTTACACAATTAATTCATCCTTAATTTAATTCAGTTTCATGAGTGGGAGTTTGCTGGTTGTAAATACTTTGTTCTGAGAGATTTATCTTTATACAGATTTTCTAGGAGTGTTTAGATTAAGTGACTAAAACAGGGTGGGCAAACTCTCAAAGGCCGTACAATTTTATATGTCATTATAGTTTTAAAAATAACAGCCCTCATTTAAACTCAGTCTAATGCCTGCGAGTAGCCTCAATTTGTTCTTTCAGTGAATTAAGAAGGTCTGCAGAACACAGGGTTTGGAAACCCTTGCTTCCCTGCTAAGTCTCTCCCCATCTCCACCCTTTTCTTGTTTCTCTGGCCATACTCTGTATAAAATTTGTGCTGGATTATTCAGAACCTAAAGGTGTTATTCAAACCAGCTTCTTCCTACCACAGTTATCTTAGCTGGATATGATGTGTTTTTAATGTGATGGATGGCACAATGAATGTATATTTTGTGTGATTCGTGAATAGTCCTTTGCATGTCGCACAATGTTTTGATGTCCTTGCAGTACCACACTGAGTTCTATCAGTTATCCTTTGTGAGCCTATGATGTTTCCCATTTCCTGTACAATCATAAACAACTCTGAGATCCTGGAGTGAGCTGATCCAGAGCAGAGTTTACGGGTCTTAAGATGTCTGTAATAAATAGATTCAAATTTCAGATATACTTGAGAATCCGTGTATTTGACTTGGCTACAATTTATTGGTTTCTACAAAGTTGGCTTATTTCATGTGGGGAAGGGGAAAAGGGTGGTGTGCATTTTCAAAGAGGTGGACATTTTCTTGGAAAAAAAAGAGTAAATGTTTTCCATTATGTAGCTGAAACTTCCCCTGTGAGTATCATTGCACCTAATAATGTCTATTTGATAGGTTGGTTTTCTTTAAAATAGCAGTAACTCCTTTATTACAGTCAAAGCTCATAATAGAAAAATGAGTGATCAGGAAATTTATGAAGCAGATTTATTTTTTGAAACAAACATGGATACTTCCTGGGTCAAGTGCTAACCTTTTCACCTCCAACTGAATGTTGACATATATATAAACAGAACCCCCTTCAAATGCTGAAACTCTTCAGTCAGTCTTTCCTCACATTAGTGAACCAAGAGCTAAGAGATTCACATTTAAGTAGCCCCAGTATAAAGCTGTTTGAAGATGGGGCACCGACCTCACCCCTCTTTCTTCTTTTTGTGTTGTCAGGCAGTGTTCTAATATATTAAACCCTTTAAATAGTGTGTGCTTTGTTTTCAGTAAACCTTTGCATCCCTCCTCCCATCCTTCTGTCAAAATCCATTCCTTCCTGCCACTCTGTCCACATCCCTCTACCCTACCCCTGCCCAATCTCCTCTGGGTTGCATATCTCGTTCCCATCAGATTTACCTTTGGTTTCATAGTCATCATGGCTGTAATGGGTCCACAGTTCTAAGTCTATACCACATAACCTAGAAAAAGTTTTTATTTTTTCCTCTGGTCTCCACAAGTTCATTCTTCCAGGTGAACTTGTGGAGGCCACCCTGAAGTCTTTCAATGTTCAAATTCTTCCAACCAAGGCATGTGTCTACTCTCAAAGAGGAAGCAAGCAAATCAAAAAATTCAAAATGACTCACCTCCTAGACCTCTTACCAGTTTTCCTTTATTTTCACACATTTTTGGAGGTTTCAATTTAGCCCCAAAAGCAGAGCAGACATTTTACAGCATCAGAAACAAAGAGATATGACTGACTTCTGCATCCTTTAAAAAGGATGGGCTAGGGGTGGGAGGGAAAAATCCTACAAAAACTTGGAATTTGCAGGTCTAGAGCACCCATGAGATTTCCTGTACTTCTCTGTTAAAGGGAGCCAGCCTGGACTTTGCAGGCATAGTTGCTGCGGCCATATCAAGGGCACCTGGTGTCCTCCTCTTGACTCCTGGGTTCTGGGGTTTCCTCTAAAGGACATAAGTGGAGAACTTCAAAGACAACTCCTTTATTCATTTTACCGCCGGGCCTTATACAGTATCTTTTGTTTATTAGTATAAGGCCACACAGCAAAACAGTTGGCTGGTTTCCAAATACTTTAATGTGTTAAAGTGTCATTTGCATACCACTGCAGTGATTTCAATATCTAAAAGCAGGGCCCGACCAGCTGGAATCCGAGATTCCAATCTTCAAGGTGATGGCTTCACTGTAGCTGAGGGAGAGGAAAACGATAAATTATGGCTAAACACCTCAAGCCTTCCCTAGGTTGTGGAATAAATCAGTTAACAAGCAATGCATTTAGGATACATTAATATACCTTTCAACAAGGAAAACATTTGTATCTTTTTAGTTGTTCCAATCGATTAAATCAAAGGCGCTTAACACATCCTATTTCAAGGTCTCTTTTTGTGTTGGTCACTAAGGGGGCACAGTTAGCCCCTTGAAAAATGGCAGCAATGGTAACTGAAATGGCGAAAGAGGAAAATAAATATTTTATTGATAAATTAAAGATGGGTAAGACTCTCAATTAGGGACTTGGGATAATTGCAACATAACATTCCAGTTTTCAAATGCGTTTTCCTTACTTCCCCTCACATTCATTAGAGGTACTCTTGAAATTTAGGGTGTCCCCACACTAAGGCTGCGTTGAGATCATCTTGCTGTGGCTCTGAAGTCTGCTCTTGGTTTCACCTTTGAAAGTTTACTTTTGGAGGCTATTCAGATGCCATGGTGTTTTCCTCTGGGGCAATCAGATTCAAACCGATCAATATTTACTCAGTCTGAAAGGGTTGTTGAAAAGGCTGCTAACAACAAACTGCTTAGCTGCTCACCCCTGTTTAATCTCAGGTTCACCAAAAGTTCAAGAAGAGATGAATGCATTGATGGGTCACTTTAGAATGAGTCCCAGCGGTTTATCTGAGCTCTTCGCTAAAGGCAACAATTACAGTTCCATCCCTTTTTGGGAGAGGGGCAACTTTCCTATTATTCTTTTGCTAAACAGTGTTTACTAGAAACTTAAAACACTTTCCTCTCCCTTCCTGGCTTTTATTTTCAGGAGGGAGAGAGAGGAGCTTCCAGCCTCACTTCTTCTGTCTCCTTCTTTAGCTTTCTGTCAATCCATTTGGTTTCATTTAACTTAAAACAAATTAGATTGGGTATTTTTAAAACATTAAATTGGTCTGACAGAAGAGATCCAATTTATTTCAGATGCCAAGATCTATGAAATGAAGCTTTTTGGGCAGTTAGAGTTTTCCTTCTTTTCAAAAGTACAGGGCAAGATGGAATTGAAATCCATTTGCGCTTGAGTAATTTTGACAATTGGACCCCCAATATCCATTTGAGATGGCTCTTTAGACAGGAATGGGGGAGAGGAGAGGGAGGAACTGATGTGTGCAGAATCAAATACCTCAGGTAGAAAGTCAGCTTTAAAATTTTACACTCTCATAGTGCATAAATTACCCAAGGAAGCCACAGGGAATGGTGGGAGAAGATGCCGGACACTGAAGCTAATTGCTACAGCTCTTCAGAGGTCAAAGTTCATGTAATCACTACATGAATGCATACTAAATAGGGATTTATTAAGCTTTTCTGATGGCTGAGCATGTCTGTGAAGAAACGTTCACTGCTGTTTGCGTTTCTTCCTGAAGAATAATCATTCTTGCAGTATAAACTCTAGGAGTCTGAGTCCTTACTCTTTTGAATGACGGGCAACCTTTCTGTTTAAAAATTTTGAAAGCGGTGCATAGACATCACGTTTATATTTGATGGGACTGTAAAATGCCTCTCTCATTCTTAGAAATGCTATGGCTTTTTCAATACACACACAAACACTAGTTAGCGTGTCCCTATCAGATAAGCTACTCACTAGATGGCTAGCTTTGGTGACCCTGTGCTGTAGATGAGCCTACTTTTTGCCTGCATTTCTGAGAGCGCACAAATTCTGCTTCTTGTGCCTGGATGAGCAGAATTGAAAGGGACCCAATTACCCAACCTCTCCTTTTATGAATCAAAAAGACAAGGCACCAAGTGGTGGATTGATGTGACTTACAGCACACAGTATTAGAGCTCTTACTTTCTAGGTAAAAACCAGGTTGATTTAGAACCTGAGGCTAGTGCCCTTCTTAATTCTAAATTCCTGATTTGATATTGCCCCTTCCTACTTATTCCATGTGATTTGTTTCAGGCTGGATATTGCTTATATTTTTCCATTTCTGGTTTGCTAGCCCTGTCCACTCAGTCAAGCCCTTGATTTTGAGGCCATTAAGATTACTGAAGATTTGAGACCACCTCCCAGTTGAATGTTTCTGCCATCTTACTGAACAATAAAACGTTGGGCTACTTATTGTTAAGGAACTATGTTCTTAAAATACAGAGACAGCAAGTAAAATTCAAGACACATCTATTTTTGTTGTTTTTGTTTTTGAATCTAGACTAGGGAAGAATAAATTAAAGAGGAGTTGATTGCACCAAAGTTCAGTCTCCATTATATTGCCAAGAGGTATTGGCTAGATAGGTCTTTAAGATGCAAGGTACATTCTAGGAGGTGTTTTAACTCTGAATCTTTTTTGTTTGTTTGTTTCTGTGTGATTTGCGGCATAACATAGCCTCTTGAATTGTTCTGGGCCACATTTCTCCATTTTATCTATGACTCACTAGTGTACCCTAACACATGCACACACTCCAAGCTCAAACAAGTAACAAAGTTTCCTTGCAGCACAACTTCCCACATTTTCCTTCCTCAGTGAGGTCTTACTGATCTTAGTAGAACCGGCTGCCCAAAGGGACATCTCTGGCTGTCAGCATTTGAAGAGCTGAACTGGAATCTTTAGAGTTTTAGAGCTTTATTTGTAATAACACCAGTCATCAAAAATAGCTGACCTTGCATTGCAGAACTGCAAATCAACTTATCAATCAAGCAACTCAGCTTCGCAGACGCTAGCCTATGAACACTTGCTTTTTGTATGTGTGTATGTGTAAACCTGAAACCCCAATTACTGTCTGCAAAATATTCTAGAAAGACTGCATTTTGGGTTTACTGGAAATAAGTGAAAAGACCAATGTTTCCTATGAACATTTCCAGATGCAACTAAAATGTCTGCCTTAAAAAAAATTACTTTTCTTTTTAAAAATGTGTTTGTGAAACGTCTAGACACAAGGCTAATCTATAGAAATCAGGAAGTTTTGCGTTTTCATTTTAGGCTTGGGTGGTTAGTTGCTCAGGAAAAACAATTTCTTGCAACAGAAAATAAAGGAAAAATTATTGAATGACTTCTTTTTGAACTGGGATACTTTTTAGCCGTGTTGCATTTTAGTTTGCTTCTTTTTAAAAGAAAAATCGCCACAGAACCATAACAAGAATACAGAAACAGTAAATTAAAATGGCACGGACTTCCCCAACCTCACCCTGCCGCCTCAAAATCAGAAGTACAGTTTTGGGAAAGTGTGAACGGGAATTTTCCATTCTGAGGAACATACGGGGTCCTTCCTTCAAGACGCGCTGGGGGCAGCTGACCGAGCCTCGGGGGGCGAACTCTGCTGGGAGATCAGCTAGCAGGGGTCGCGGAGGGCGCGCCAACTCCGGCTCCGCCAGCGTCGCGTCGGGCGCTGAGACCAGCGCCTGCCTCATGGCGGCCGGGCCAGTGCAACTGCCTGAGGGGCATGCTACCCGGGCTTGGCGGCCCCGCGGGAGTGGAGGGGAGCCCCGACACCACGGTGAAGACTGCTTCTCTCCTCTTTAACTTCCCCGCCTTCTCTTTCCGAAGTTTCAGCAAACACCGCCGCGGCCTCTCTCGGCACCCACGGGACCACGCGAAGAAGGGAGGGAGCAGCATCCGGGCCCTTCGCGGGTGAACCGGCGGGCGGCCGGGCGGCCTGAGGCCTGCGCGTTTCCCAGCCGGAGCCGTGGGCAGGTGGGCTGTGACGGCAACATCAGTCGGCGCGCATCCCCTGAGGCTGCTAAGAGCCCCTCAACAGACACTAGGTCTCACGTGTCCTCATTCTTTTCCCGTCAGCATAGCCCTGCCTCCAGGTACTCCAGGAAGTCGCAGGAGCCCAGAGGTGCGGCCTGAAACGCCACAGACGTCTGCCGGCCTCATCCCGGTGAGGGCCTCCGAGCTTCCATCCCCACGAGGAAGGACAGAATATTTCCCCCCAGGAGAAGAAACACAGGTCTGAAGCCTAACCCCCAAGTTCATCTTTTTAAGATATGAAAATGGGAGGGAGATTTTACTCCTTGCCTGTTCCCGCATCCCAGACTTGTTCAAAATATATTTACTCGAGGAATATGTTCATTCCTCTTCAGTTTAGATGTTTTGAATGGTAGAGTGGAGGTTGCAGTTGTGATGAGTGGAAATTTCTAAACATTGGTTGTTCCTAGAGAGATTAATGCTTCTCTCCTCAGGAAAATATTCTTGCTTCTCAAATGTCCTCTCCTCATTCAGTTGCAGAGTCAAAACCGGCCTTGCCTGAAGCCTCACCTCTTTCCAGAATGTTCCCTCTCAGCTGAGTCCCTCCTCAGAACTCCACCTTTTACACAGGAAACTTTGTTATATAGCATTTAACTAAGATTGTGAACTGGATTATCCATGTGTGTTAGTCTTGGTTCCCCAAAATGGATCTTAAGCTTCTGGAGGGCAGGGCCTTTGATTTTCAGTAACATAAAGAGACAGTCTCTGTGGAAGGAGCTCTGGGATGGATTCAGTCTTTTCTCATTCACAGTATGAGTTTGGGTAGGATATTTAGCCTTTCTATGCTTTCGGATTCTTAAATTATAAAATAAAGTGACTGTTCTTATTGACTTTTAAATTACCATCTGAAATATATGTGGTTTGCCAGTATCCTGAAAATCTGGTATTTATTCAGGATTACTCTGAGCCAAGCCCTATGTCAAATACTTTACACACAGTAATTTATTTAATCCATATTCAGCCTCAAGAAGGAGGTATTTTTATTATTTCGATTTTACAGATAAGGAAATGGAGGGGTCCAGGATGTTAAGTAACTTGTCCACTGAATCTAGAACCCAAACTCTTTTCCACTTTGTAGTAGTTCTTCCCCACAGGGTCAACCACGTAAGTCTCCTGCAAAGAGTTATGAGTCTATCATTGTTGATGCAAGTACCATAGTAGGTAATTGCTCACTGGTAAGGAATTACAGAAGTGGAGGAACTGTTTGATATCTGATATATTTGCAAATTGTTTCTACATATTCTTGGGAAAATAAGCAAATGACATATTTGAATGAAAACAAATCTAAAGAGTGGGATCAAATTTGACAATAAAGCAGTAAGAGGACCAAGTTAACAAAAGACTTTTTTCATATTGGACACTAATTGATTAAGGGAGTTATTTGAAGCGAGAGGAAAGATAATCTTTAATTCCACAAGTTATATCTGTGGCATGCCTAACATGTTGACAAAAATGGGAATAATATAAAATGCTGATGTTTTGTTTCTATGAAAGCCAGCATCCATACGGTTGAAGATATTTGAATGCATAATATTCTACCCCTCCACCCCCAGTTTTCATTTGGTTATTTTATATACTGCAAATACAGTCATAACTTACATTTGAAGAAGAAAAAAAGAGAATAATTCATCCTCACCCAAAAGAACTAGTTCTCATCGTTGACAAGGTAGTACCCCTTAGCTAAGAATAACCAGAGGAATCCAGTTGAACAAGAACTTCAAGGAATATATTATGAGGCCTAAAGAGAGCCAGTCTTTAGAAGCCAGTTATTCCAAGAACTAAATTTTCGTGAATGTAAGTCCCGAAACCATAAAACTCTTAGAAGAAAACATAGGTAAAATTCTCTTGAATATAAACATGAACAACTTCTTCATGAACATATCTCCACGGGCAAGGGAAACAAAAGCAAAAATGAACAAGTAGGACTATATCAAAGTAAAAAACTATTTTAACATTGTGGTTACTAGATTCCCCCCATTATCAAGTCCCCACCACATACCCTATTACATTCACTATCCATCAGCGCAGTAAGATGCTATAGAATCACTACTTGTCTTCTCTGTGCTCTACTGCCTTTCCCATGCCTCCCCACCCTACATTATGTGTGCTAATCCTAATGCCTTTTTTCCCCTTATCCCTCCCTTCCCACCCATCCTCCTCAGTCCCTTTCCTTTTGGTAACTGTTAGTCCATTCTTGGGTTCTGTGTGAGTCTGCTGCTGTTTTGTCTCTTCAGTTTTTGCTTTGTTCTTATACTCCACAGATGAGTGAAATCATTTGGTACTTGTCTTTCTCTGCCTGGCTGATTTCACTGAGCATAATACCCTCTAGTTCCATCCATGTTGTTGGAAATGGTAGGATTTGTTTTCTTATGGCTGAATAATATTCCATTGTGTATATGTACCACATTCTTTGTCCATTCATTTACTGATGGACAGTTAGGTTGATTCCATTTCTTGGCTATTGTAAATAGTGCTGTGATAAACATAGGGATGCATATGTCTTTTTCAAACTGGGCTGCTGCATTCTTAGGGTAAATTCCTAGAAGTGGAATTCCTGGGTCAAATGGTATTTCTATTTTTGAGTGTTTTGAGGAACCTCCATACTGTTTTCCACAGAGGTTGAACTAGTTTACATTCCCACCAGCAGTGTAGGAGGGTTCCCCTTTGTCCACATTGTCGCCAACATTTGTTGTTGTTTGTCTTTTGTATGTTGGCCATCCTAACTGGTGTGAGGTGATATCTCATTGTGGTTTTAATTTGCATTTTTCTGATGACTAGTGATGTGGAGCATCTTTTCATGTGCCTGTTGGCCCTCTGAATTTCTTCTTTGAAGAAGTGTCTCTTCAGAACCTCTACCCATTTTTTAATTGGCTTATTTGCTTTTTGTTTGTTGAGGTGTGTGAGCTCTTTATATATTTTGGATGTTAGCTCCTTATTGGATATGTCACTTATAAATATATTCTCCCATACTGTAGGATGACTTTTTGTTCTACTGATGGTCTCCTTTGCTGTACAGAAGTTTTTTAGTTTGATATAGTCCTACTTGTTCATTTTTGCTTTTGTTTCCCTTGCCCGTGGAGATATGTTCATGAAGAAGTTGTTCATGTTTATATTCAAGAGAATTTTACCTATGTTTTCTTCCAAGAGTTTTATGGTTTCGGGACTTACATTCAGGTCTTTGATTCATTTTGAGTTTACTTTTGTGTATGGAGTTAGACAGTAACCCAATTTCATTGTCTTACATGTAGCTGTCCAGTTTTGCCAAAACCAGCTGTTGAAGGGGCTGTATGACGGCTTATTTCTTTATGTTAATATTTATGGAAGGTTTTCTTTATACCAGATCCTGAGCTAAGGGTTTTATATACATTATCTCAGTTACTCTTCACAGCAGCCTTATGATGTGGGTTTTATTTTCCTCATCTACAGATGGAGAAACTGAGACTTAGGGAAATTCTCTAAGCTTCTCAGCATTACACAGTGGGTGAGTAATAAAGTTGGAATTTGAAGCCTACACATTTAATCCTTACATGTTGAAGCCTCATATCTTAAGAATGTGAGATAATAATATAATTGGGACTAAACTTAAGTTTAATTTCATATTTAAAATGTATGTATTTTAGAAGCCTGGTGTTAAGTTGTGATAAATATGTTTATGTATTTATATTATGTACACTATGAATGATCTTAGTCTTTTAGAATAAAAAATGTATTAAAAATATTTTAAAAATTTAAAAATAATTATACACATACAGAGAAAAAAGTTTATTTTTTTCCATTTGGGGTTTTATTGCTGACAGAATTGGAGCTCTCAAATAACAATAAGTGTAATGATAAAATAGTATGTTTCTATATCATAATAATAAAATTATAGAAGGAAAGAAAAAAACCCAATTACCATCACATTCCCCCCAAAATAGCTGTTTTCTACAGTCCAGTCTTTGTCCCCATGCATATTTTTACTTAAAGGCAAATATTGTGTGCCATGATTTTGAATTCTACTTTTTTTCACTTATTTTATATCATAAATATCTGTGTTTATGTGGCATAATTTTTATTAGTGACTGCTTAAAACAGTGGATGTACCATTACTTATCACATGTTTTTCTTTCTTTCCTTTCTTTTTTTTGACTAGGATTGGCCAGCATCTGAACCTTTTAGTGTTTAGGCAATGTCTCACTCTGAGTCAGAAAAGGCTGTATTCTTGCTATCTCAGTAGCCTCGTCTATTTACAGCACAGACATGGTGAAGTTGCTAGACATGGTATCCAGCAGCACCCAAGTCCAGTGCTTTGGCAGGGTGGGTGGCAGCATCAGGGCTTGGGGCAGGGGCAATGGTCTCACTGGACCAGCTCTGTGGTGACACAGCTCTGGCTGTCAGATTTCCATGTTTTCAAGCTTGATTTCCGGTTTTCCTAGCAATTTCCTGAGCTATCCATATGTTCCTTTTCTGATTAAATCACCAATAGTCAGTTTTTGTTGCTTACAACTAAGGATCCTGATATGTGTACCATGTGATATACAAAGATTGTGCTTTAAAATTTTTTAGGGCTTGTGGCTGTGGCCTGGTACTGTGGTAGGGAAGTTGTATTATATGATTTAGAAAGTATCTGTGTAAGGTGAGCCAGATGGCAGCTTTTTCCAATTCCATTTTCTGTCATTCCCCAGCTTTGAGCTCTTTTAATGCACACACATTTTGCTTTGTTAAACCTAAACAAATACATAAGACGAGCCAAAGATGATCCCTTTGCTCACTAAAAACACACAGATATATTTAATTGAATTGTATAACAAATTTATTTTACAGCTTTCCTATCTTACTACCTTGAACAGTTATTCTTCTGAGGCTGGCCTGTAAGTGCAAAAGTAGTTGACAGTTGTTGATAGTTTACATAATACTAGGCACTGTATTAAGCACATTACATGGATGGTTCATTCAAGTTCTTTCCACAACACCATGAGGTATAGGTACTATTATAATCCCTATTTTAAAGAAGAGGAAACTGAGGGAAGAGTTCACCCAGCTAGAAAATAGCAAAGCTTACTTCTAAACTTAGCAGGCTTGCCTCTCAGCACTCATTCTTAATACCATTGTAATGCTCTTTCCCTTAACTAGCCTAATTACCCAATTTTTCTTTTTCTTCCCATTCCTCTTTCTCATCTTCTCTCTCTAATTTTTTCTTTCTTATATGAGAATGACACGAAGGCATCCAGTCCAGTCCCTGATGAGCATCTATAACTGTGTGAGGTGAGTGGTTTGTTACCTATCAGCTGTGGAAGCCCTTGAAAAGTACCTATAGTTTGCTCTTCTGGCTCTAGGAACTCCTCCTGGCTTCATTTTAAAATTTTTTAGGGCTTGTGGCTGTGGCCTGGTACTGTGGTAGGGAAGTTGTATTATATGATTTAGAAAGTATCTGTGTAAGGTGAGCCAGATGGCAGCTTTTTCCAATTCCATTTTCTGTCATTCCCCAGCTTTGAGCTCTTTTAATGCACACACATTTTGCTTTGTTAAACCTAAACAAATACATAAGACGAGCCAAAGATGATCCCTTTGCTCACTAAAAACACACAGATATATTTAATTGAATTGTATAACAAATTTATTTTACAGCTTT